TTCCTCATAAGCTGTCCTGAATGCTAATCTGGATTCCAGAACATTTTCCATATCATAATAGTACAAAATTGTGGCAACAATATCTTCATTTATTGTGCCTTCAACATGCCATGAACCCCCATTGTACCTGGGGTTTTCTGGAGTTAACTCAATGTTGGCCATCTTTACAATTACTTTCAACGTTGAGAAATCCTTAGATAGATCTACTCGATTTGTATCGGGAGGTCCAGTCCATTTAGGAATGAATTCCTTCAAATGCTCTTCTCTTCTCTCGTAATACTCATCAACATCGTCCCAGTTATCAGTGTCCTCAAGCTCACTCATTTTTTTGGTGAACTCCTCCGAATATGCATTGTAGGCATCTGGTTCTTCTCCACGGAAGTAATCAGCAGAGCTTGCTCTTGAAAGAACATAATTCAATCCTATTAAGCAGTCATTGAAGACTGATTCAATAGTTTTATAAAGTGGATCAAACTTTTTAGGATGTAAATTGTTGATGAAAGATTTAATTTGATATTTTCCTAAATGTGAATCATATTCCAACAAAGAAGGTAACCATTGGTACTTTTCGGAAATACCCCATGAAACGGATTTTTTCCACACAACTTTCTCTTTAACAAATGCAATTGGCTTTTTCAGTTTCTTGTCTAATGTCAAGCCGTACTCTAAAGGAAATAAGGATGGGTGGACTAAATCAATAACCTGGTTATTTGAATGTGGATGATAGTCTAAATTGTCGCCAAACAGTTCATACAATTCTTGAACTTGGTTCAACAACTTCTTTCTCACATCTTCATCCACGATGTTGTCTCCCTGTACAATTTTATCATCATATGCTATAGTGTAAGAGTCCAAGAGCCAGTTGTGTTGGAGCCATTCATACCATTTCAACTCTTCAAATACATAGTCCAAAATTTGATCAACGTGCTTTGTACCTTTCTTTTCTGCAGCCAGTGCAACTTCCTTTCTCCATTTATCACTTATCTCCGGGATCTTATACTTGCGAGTCCAGTCAGGTTTTTCTCTTATAGCAGCGGAAATCTCTGTTATTGCCACTTCCAGTAATGTGGGATAAGTTCTTGCACCACCGCTCCAGGCGCTCCACCAGGGGTGACGGAATGGCGATTCATGTTCTTCTGTTTCCTTCAGCATTCTGTGACAATTGGATTGCTACACCCAATTAAAGTTTATCTTTTCATTGGGAGTTGGTGGGATATTTAAATCAAACCCCCAAAGTACACAAGAAATTTTACTTTGCCGCCCACCACAGCTTGAAAATTAATTGTTGTTTCTCCATCTCGTATTAGGAAATTTCGTATTGTATGCAGGATGATGTGAGCAAAGTCGTGAACGAATGCGTCCATAGATATCAATGCAACAATCGAGCCATGATCTCAATAGAATGGCACCCATGTATACCACATATAAGTATTATTTGAAATCCAGAAGAGGTAGTTATAAAAGTCTTTTTGCTTTATTTCCAAAGAATAGGAAAGGGGTTTAAATCAATTTAGCACTATTCGTATATTTTAAGGGCTTTGTGTTTTTGACCAGGCCCCAAAAATCATAATTGTGTTTGCTCTAGCTGTACAGAGGCGATCTTGGCGGTTAAGAAGCTCCTATTGTTCTTATGCCTCTGGTTGTGCGCATTCATTGCTACAAACACGTTCCTGAAAATTTCGACAACTGGTGTCACTGAAGTAAAGTTGCAAACTCAAATCGTCTTCTTGTAACAAGAACAGTTGAATCATATGTTCAAGGAGGCAGCCGTGGCCACCTGCCCTAACTTTTTGAATGAACTACTTGTTAGAACAGAACATTGAGCTGTTCGAAAAAGATCCAGAAGCCTCTCCAGTCCGTATTACTTCGTAAATCCAAATTCTCCTGATTTCGGAAAATAGGGCAAATGTGTAATTATGTATGCTTAATATGGAGGATTAAGGTTCTGAATCTTCTTGAGGAACACACGGCAAAGATGAGAATAATAGTAGACGTTTCATTCACTGATATAATAGTATGTCACTAGCCTCATAGGAAAGCTGGCTTTGAGTCAACGGACGAAGCCAGAATATTGCTGGAAATTCATTTCCATTACTAGATCTATGGTAGAAATGATGACTTTATAATCAGAATGTCATACTTATTATAAAATGAAGCAGTTGGGCATACTATCTGTGCCCTCTGTCTATTACTGATTCACCTTCAATAATTCTAACCCACCTCTCGATAGCATGCGCTTGTTTGTCTTATTGGTGGACCCATTGTGGTCTACTAGAGCCAGTGGAGCTTAACTTTATGTTAACCCCGCTTCCTGTGGAACCTGTTTTACTTTTTTAGGTTTAAGGATCTCAAAAAAAAGCTCTTGATCTCCTAGTCTGGTGATTCCTTAATTACTATACTGGTATTATATTGATCATCTGTACTTGTCATCGGTAGCTATCGTTATTAGTATGTAAAGCTACGAAGACGGCTGATAGGTTGGATCTCAAGTGTAAAGTTTTTTTACGTAAACTCTACATCTCGATGGTTTTTCCACGAATACAGAGTATATTTGAAGAAAAAGAGGAAATCGCTGCAAAGCATGCCTGACAACAATAAACAGTGACGGGCAACAAGGTATTTTGATTTCGAACTTCTTCATAAGATATATACATTATACGGCTATAATAAAGTTATGATTTCATATCAGGTCACGTGACCTAATTCTCGTATATTGTTCTAAAATCACTTCCTTGGTTGTAATGAATGTTTTCTAAACAAACATGTCGTCCAAGAATTCAAACTCAGATCGAAACATGTCATTCGTTCTCACAGGATAGTTTTACAGGATGGCCATCTCCTCGAATAAGTATTTATTATCATGAGTGCCCTGTACTTAAAGATGTATACGAAGGTGTACGGGTGTCGTTATTCCCATAAACTTAGTACTACAATAAAACTTTAGATCGATACGAAACATCTCCGACATTCACCGGTCCATCAGACGTAGCCTTGGACCCAAATGGGTACACCCGTTTAACCCGTTACTAAAGATGAGCGGCAATCAAAGGGACGATTAATTCAAGCTTTCTACAATATTTCCTTGTTACCCCTCCTCTACTACCCCTCGCAGTCCTTTTCTACCTGCTCCCCTCAGCTACTAATCCCCCTTTGTAGAGTATTGGGCTTTGACAACTATATACCGGAACTTGATAAATTCTTCCGTAAATGGCCGGTCAGCCGAAATAGTATGAATTATAGTATTCCCATCAACAAATGAGAAAACCTCATTATCGAACAAATAGCTAATGCTCTAGCATATGAATCTGACTTTCAAGCTGCTTTTGGCAACAAAGCAAATGCTCCAAGTTGGCTTTCACTCGTCGATGTGATGTCGTTTTTCGCTTATCTTTTAGTGTTTGACTACTTGCTCCGGTTTTGTAACTTGACACGGCTCGATGGCATACTGCATGTAGTTACTTCTTGTTCCTACTTCCCTAAAAGCATCACTGTTTATAGATATTTAAGAAGACATAGAACACTAATTAAAATCCTATTTGTACCAAGACGTTACAGGAACATAACCCACGAGATGTCAGGAACCAAAGTAAACTATCCGTATGTAAAAACAACGAGAAAAACAAACTCTACGTCATTGCTATATATATTTTTTGGAGACGATTTTCATTAGCTGAGAAGGAACAACTGGCATACTAACAAAGATAATACATAGATTTTGGTATGGAGGAGCTTCTAGTATGGTGGCATGTTTTGTAACCCACCCATTGGATTTAGCTAAAGTAAGATTACAAACTGCCAAAGAACCTGGTCAAGGATTAGTTTCTATGATTTACAAAATCATCACTCAAGAAGGATTCTTCAAAATCTATTCCGGATTAACGGCCTCCCTTTTAAGACAAGCAACTTATTCCACAACCAGATTCGGTATCTATGAATATATGAAGGAGAAATACATCAGCACTTATGATAAACAACCTACCACAGCCATTCTATTACCAATGTCGATGGTTTCCGGAGCTTTAGGTGGATTGGTGGGTAACCCTTCAGATGTGGTCAATATCAGAATGCAGAATGACTCCACATTGCCAGTAGAACAGAGACGTAACTATAGAAATGCATTTGAAGGTATTTACCGAATTGCCAAAAGTGAAGGTCCTTCTGTTTTGTTTAGAGGGTTAATGCCAAATTTGGTGAGAGGTGTTTTAATGACTGCATCTCAAGTGGTTACTTACGATATTGCAAAGAATGTTTTGGTAGATAACTTCCACATGGATCCTTCATTAAAGTCTACCCATTTCTCTGCTTCTTTAATTGCTGGGTTAGTAGCTACCACTGTATGTTCACCTGCTGATGTTGTCAAGACACGGATTATGAATGCCCATAGTAGCAATCCTGGTGAAGGTGCCGTACACATTTTGATCAATGCTGTCAAGAATGAAGGTGTGGGTTTCATGTTTAGAGGATGGTTGCCATCATTCATCAGATTGGGACCTCATACAATTGTCACCTTTTTAGTCTTGGAACAATTGAGAAAGTACAGGGTTGGTATGTTTAATTAAGTAACAATACTTCACTTTCGTTCCTTTGCATTATAGCATTACCTGTTTTGATAGACATTTAATAGATAAAGCATATTTCAAAATTAAGATTCAGGTTTTATATTTAGAGATAAATGATTCAAGTAAGTGTGCATTGTGCTAGCTATACCTTAGTTGAAGTAATTGAACTACGAGTCTTTTTTTGGATGGGCTCTCAACTGAAGCGATATGGTGTATAACGTAGTAGAACTAGCCTTGTGAAATCTTGAGTAGAGTTGGAAGGTGCTATCGATTAGAAAGACGAAAAAGCAATCTTTCTTTTACTTTGAAATACATTCAAGGATAATCAGTGCTCCAGATCGGTAGCAACATTAATGCATTATATCAATAAAGAATTGAAGAGAATAATTTCATATAATATGGGGTAGGTCCCTATGTACATCCAACGAACCAACAAACAAATTAGACATTGATGTTGTCCAATTCGGCTCTTTCAAATGCTTCCTTTTCAGCTTCCAAAATGTAAGGAATCAAATAGTGCTTGTCTTCATCTGCACTAATGGCTTTGTTAGCAGGTAACAACAGGTGGGTCAAAGCCAATTGGTGGGCAGTCAAAATACGGTAAACACGGGAATAACTCAAGTCTTCAGGTAATCTGGACAAAGCAGATTGAACAACAGGACTTTCTTCAGCAATCAAGTCGTCAAACTTTAAACCCATTTCTCTGTAACCAGCATAGGCACAGAAGGTCTTAGCCACAGGGACGACAACCTTGGCCAATGAAGGTCTGGATAAGATGAAATCAGCCGTCTTGACAATCAGGGTAATGGAAGCCATCGTGATATATAATGATCAATAGTCAGTAGTGCTATATCGTGAACGAGTATAAGCAAGATGCTGTAATCTTCAACGATATGTGATTCTCACACTTATTATTAAAATTTTTTTGCGTGTCTGTAATTGGCCTATTGTTGACTTCCTATTTAGGTAGTATACGGAAATACAGCATGCGAAAGAGTTTAGGCAAACAACCAAAGGAAAAATCTATTCTCTATATTAAATACCAGATCATTTATTTGTCTCAATAGTGACTATCATCACGCTTGATACCATAAGTGTTGGGTAAACCAGCTTGTGCTAGAAGTGCCATTGGCAGCTTATCTTTGACTAAAGATACCAATTCTTCATTCTTACAGAGCAACAAAGACATGTAGGCACAAGAGTTAAGTCCCAAACCATCAACGTTATTAACTACTCGAGGAACCATCATCATGTATTCGGTGGTCATGATAAAGTTGTAAGCAATGGCTTCACAACTAGCATCACGCAAATCTGTGATAGTACGAGTTAATAGATGAACAAAGAGAGCTCCCAATTGGTCTTCGTTGGTGATTGTTTCAGGTACCTTCACAATGTAGTGAGCAAAGGGTACTTTAGGATGTTGCAAAGGTTCATCTCTGGCGATAGATGGGGGTCTATCAGAATCAACATCAAGTTTGAGTATAACTTCTGGGATTGGCTCAAAATCTTTGTCATTTGGTAACGTCATGAATTGGAAGTGCTTATGAGGTTGCAGCATACCACTTGCTTGACCACAATTGTAGAAACTAAACCATTTTTCGTTAGGGCCTTTGAGCTTAAGGTCTTTCAAAATGAAATACATAGCCAATAATTCACTTGGATTCAAAGGAGAGTTTTGAGATTCAAATTCTCTAGTGACGGCCATAAAATGACGATCCACTACTGGGAATTTGTTAAAGACAATTCGAAGCAGATCATCTAAACCATATTTGCTCAATATGGTCAATTCTGGTTCTTCATTAGCAAAGGGGTCCGCATCAACCGTGCCCTTCACCGGACGTTGGGCTAAAGACTTAAGAAGCGTCAACTGGAATGGGAATCGTTCCTCTTCTTTTGAACACGAAGAATCGAAAATGACCTCATGTTCCGCAGACTCTCCCTTGAATTGAACTTCGCCACTTTGTTTGGCGACTTGGTATTTCTCGCAAAGCAGAGTATAGAAGTTGTCGGGGAGTTGATACGCTTCCATTATTATCTGTTATGGTGTTACAAAGCTAATGATACGATAAGTTATTCTTTCAGACGTTGAAATGAAAGATTTTATAAACGTGTAGTGTATTCTGGGTCACAAATGTCGCACGCGTATTTTGAACGATTACTAATTTGGACATGATGTTACGGCTAAATTCACATATAAATGTCATAAATTGAAATTACATATGTATTTATTAAGGGAATGAAACTAGTGGGTATATATATAGAATCGAATATAACAATCAGAAGAAGGAATAATAAAATAAAATAAATGCAACAGAACTGAAGACCTTTTTGTCCAAATCACTTGCGTTTCAACCAGTCAATAAACTGTTTCCGCTTAGACCTATCACCTATAGAGGTTCGTGATGACGTGCGTGTGGCAATAGAGCCTGCGCTGGAGTCTACACTCATCTTGTGATCGTTGTTTCCACTACCACCACCACCGTATTTCAGAAGTCGATGGCTGCGTGAACTAAATGCCAGTGCGGCTGATGTGTTGTACCGGGGAAGATTAGTAACATCTGCCACCTTACGAGAACTAATACCTTCTGATGGTGTTATTGGTGTACTTGTCGTATTAGTAGTAGTAGTATTATTAGAATTATGAGCCAACGATCTCCTGGAGGAAACATCAACATGTGACTTTTTGAGGTTGCTATCATGTGCAACGGTAGACAAACGTGTATCTGTTGGGGATGTCTGGGAAACGTCAATAGGCTTGGGTTTCGTCTGCTGTGTCTTGGGTGGACTAGAAGTGTGAGATGTAATGGTTATGGGTGGTGAAGTAATCGATAATGATGGTGAACTTGATTCCTGAGTTACCAATGTAGTGCTGTGGTTGCTGGATGATGGAGAATTACAAACACTAATATCTTTGGGTAATGTTTTAGTTGTCATTGTAGAATTAGCATTAAGACTGGTGGTCTTAGGCTTGATGGCCCTTTTGTACTCATTCATTCTGGGCAGTGACAGCCGTTGTTGTAAAGGTATGGCGACAAAGATTGAAGCTGGATTGCATGGAGGAGCATTCAGAGCATTTAAAGAAGGTGATGTAGAGATGCCTCCAAACGTTCCACTTTGGTATATAATCGGAGTCTGTACTGAAAAGGACGACTCTGAATTAATGGAAGTTTGTGATGACGAAGCATCCCGGGAGTGTTGTCCAATTGGAAAAGGTGGTTGCGCTGGAGATAAAGGCTTGGACGTAGGCAAAAGAGACTGCAGTGAATTTTGAGGAATGAGTTGTTGTTGGCTATATTTGTTCCGAAGTGAAGACAAACTTGATGAATGCGATAAGCTATCGGAAGAATAGTTGAGTTTCAATGCATTTGAAATCTTGAAAGATTGATCATAAAACGATTGGTACCTTGTAGCTCTTGCCTGTGACCTTTTCGAACTCAATGAAGCATTAGAAGTATTTGAAAAGGTTTTCTCTATTGGAGGAGGCTTTGAATTGGGTAAAGATGTCGACGATGAGTTAGCCAGAGTTGGATAAAGATTGTCAAACTCATCACTTCTGCGAGAACTCAAACCTCTGGGAGGTTGCAATGAATCTTGAGAGACAACCAGTGTCGCGTTTTCATTATCATCAACATCAACATCTTCTTCATCTTCATCTTCATCTTCATCTTCCTCTTCATCATCTTCATCATCATCAACATGTACACCAACTATTTCAAGTCCATTCGCATATGGTTCTGTTTTCTGTGATACCTGAACTTCTTGTTCAAGTTCTTCACTCTGCTGATTAATATTGGGCGTAGAATTGACATGATTTTCTTCTTCAAAGTCAGTATCTTCTTCTTCCTCAATAGCTTGTTCTGGATATGTAACACCATTATGAAGCAAGCTACTGGAAGCTCCTCCAACGCTACTGTAATTACGTGCAAAAGGTGATTGTAACAACGACTCTAATGTAGGAGGTAACAGCTCAGTACGACGATGTAAGAAAGTACTATGAGAAGACCGCAATCCACGAGCAGGTGAAACTGGTGTCGATGTGGTGTTCAGCGGTGACTTAGCTTGAGAACCAGATCCAGATGCAGCTGCCACGAGAATATCATTCAAATCAATTATAGGATCTGGTACCTCATTATATGAAGCGGAAAGTGCCTTTTTATGAAAAGGGGAACGAAGGTCTCGAGGTGAAGAATAGTAATAGGGTGACCCGTTAAGTGACCCGGATGCAAAATGCGACGTCGATGGTGTCGATCCCGATCCCATATCTTGGGACGTGTTTCGTTGTGGTGGATAAAAAGATGATGAAGACAGCTTGGGAGTTACAGGCTGGCTAGTTTCTGCTGTCTTTCTGGGAGAGTGCAGAATAGGTGGAGGAGGGAAAGAGAACCAACCAGCGTTATCGGACTCGGAGACACTCATGGTCTCAATCTTTCCATTTACATCAACGTCAAAGTTTCGTGACATTGCTTCAGCCGTTTGAGGAGGAATATCAAGTAATAAGAAACCTGACCTTTCCTTTAGTTTATTAGAGGTTGATTCCGATGTATTTTCAAACCCAATAACGTTATTATTATTATTATTATTATGGGGGATCGACTGGTTGAAAGTAGAATCCAGTAACTTTGGTATATCCTCATTGTCGTAGTTGCTATTATGGACAGATTTTGAAGGGGTGTAGCAAGAAACTGGTCTTGGCTTTATTTGTGGAGCATTGTAGCCCAACAGCGCCGACTGAGAACGAGAATGCAATCGTGGAGGGAGGTAAGAAGGTGTTGGAGATGACGGGGAACCACAGTATGAATTTCTTGTTGGGGAGTTTGGTCCTGGAGGAGGAAAGAGAGGATTCTGATTAATTTGAGAAAGGAAATCAAAGTCACCAGAAATCGCTTGAGATCTGCGATGTCTATGGCCCTTTCTCATAGGTGAGACGAGCATTTCAGAAGGACCCGTGCCATCAAAAACTGAGGTATCTGGAGGCTGTGAAGTCTTAACTGGGGAAGAAGGATCTGCATGATCAGGAATGGAAGTAGCCGGAGGCGGATTAATGACAACAGACGGATGCAAATATGTTGGAAGAGAAGGCATTCATGTGGAGTTTTATAAGGAACGAACGAGGAACAATGACACAAACTTTACAACAAAGCCAAAGAGCAAATTTTCAATTTCAATTTGGCAGGGTATTAATAAAAACTATTGAACTGAAACCAAAAAATGGAAAGGTGCTCAAAAATTGCATTAAATTTTATAGATAAAGATTGAATACAGATACACTGTAATGGAAATACACGCCGACGTGACGTGTATAGTTATGCGACGTAGTAATGAAATGAAATTAGCAGGCTGGCGAACGGCAGTGCAGTGGGTCCGACGCTGTAAGGAATATCCAGATGGATGATAGTTCGCGTGTAAAAGTAAATGGGAGTTAGTCAGTTTGTTGGATTTGTTCAGTATTGGAACGCAACAATAACTATAGCGTGATCTATAGCTATAGCAGGTTGCTATAGGGACTATAGTATGCTATAACCAGAGTGTGAGTCTGGTTCACTGTTGCAACAACTGGTGAAGTGAAATTGATAAACGAAGAAGAAAGAAAACTAGTGTTAAAAGTTAGCGATGGAAATTTTGTCTGTGAGGTGATGATTTAGTTGAGCATGTAAGCAAAATTTGCTTCCACTACTTAAAGCGCGCAGCTGTAATTATGCAGAAGTAGTTCACGTACTACAGTACGATAAGAGATTGGGCCTCCCCAGAATAGGGTGAAACAGGTACCAAAACGGAGGCCAACTACGGGATTTCTGAGGCGTCATATGCCTGAGTTTGAAGGATGCGAGGGGGTACGGCAGGAGCGGTACAAGGTGTTGGCATGAGACGCGTGCCTCGTTACCACCACCGTACAGGCATTAGCCAGAATATTTTGCGCACACTGCGGTAACAGTTGGACCGAGTGCAGTACAAAGAGTTTGACTTTTTCTTTTCTCGGTTTCACTCCTCCAACCTTAGCCTTCAGTGCATCGTTCATGTGATGGAAGCCTCGTTTTGATGAGACAGGGGGTTGTTACGACCTGAAACATCAGATATGTTCCAGGTAGAGGTAAAGCTCAAGTGAATGGGTGTGAAAAAGCATTCTGACGAGAAGGTCGGAGTACAGAAGACAAAAGATATGAACATAGAATTGATCAGAAGCGCACAATGCAAATTTACAATACAATGGAGATTGTGAATTCTAAATATGACGTCGTCGAGAACAACGCTATTTTTAAAAATATCATTGTTTGGGGAGTGAAGATGTATTCTTGAAAGATAGAATAGTTTAAAAGTGAAAAATTTGTATTTAATGCATAGCAATAAGAGTAATGATGAAATATGGGAAAAGGTACTTCATCTCTTGATATTACAACTATTTAGTCTACAAAGTTGTATGGTATTTCATTGACCCCGACAACACAACAAACTACAACCATGCCAATTAGAATTAAGACCCTGGAAAGACCTGTTGATTTAACAATTGTGTCTATATCGTCATCGAGGTCATTGAAAGGGCTTAGAATAACATTGTTATGGCATGCCATCTATCATACAGAAAAAATTTAAACTCAATCAAGTCCGGGTTTGAGAAACAATAGGACAGGAATATTTCGTGGTAATGAACTTGCATTCATTCATGTCATTTAGTACGAATGATAATGTAGCACTTGCTAATAATTACAAGCATACACTTACTTCTTTACTTTGTATGTGCGGTACGTTAGTTCGTTTCTTCGTATCGCACGTATGCTATTACTCTACCTAATACGATCATATGCTATCGTTTGATAATAATTAGCAATGGGCATTTCCGCTCATTAGTCACAAAGTAAAATATCACCGGCAGAATTTAGAATGCCGGTTCAATTTACGAACAATAATCAAATAGTGCATGCACAGGCTAACCAGTATTTCCGTTGAAGAACCTTTACTTGCCAATACATAAAATAGTATCTGGGAGTCACAGAGGTGACGAGAACCAATCACCAATGTTTCACTTCACTCCACTTCACTTCACGTATTTTATATCACACGTGGACCAACTGCATCAAGCTGAACTATTAAATTATCTTGATAGAGTCTCACCATCCCAACCCATTTAGTGTGTGTATAGGGGTGGGGGTAATCCCACCTTAACCCCGAACGCCTTTAGGTTCACCAAGTTGATGATATCACAACCCTTCCTAGGCTAAAAGTTTTTGAAACCTGTTTCACTCGTTTAATCCCCCACATTCCCAGTGTTCCCCAACATTCTGATTGTGTCTAGTACGTACATGATTTTCTATTCCATCAACAAACCAAGTTGGGCCAAATACACCTGTATGCTGTGACAAGTGTCAAAAAATAGTATCTTCGTCAACTAAAATAACTCTTACCCATACGAGGGAATTACACCTAGTAAAATACTACCAAGTACCATGTAAAATTATATACTATGAATGTATTACAACTTTTTTGCTGTTTTTTGCTGAAAAGGAGCTACTGACCTCGAAGAGAACTGAAATGCCCTAAACAGTTCTGTCACATTACTTATTCTGACAACCGCTGTAAACGAGAATGCAAACATATGACTTGACTTGACTTGATTTCATTTCATTGCTGGTATTTCAAAAGATCGATTGGTACATGCAACATTGCACATCTTGCCAAAGATCGTTGTTAAAGTAGGTCCACATTTTTTCAGTGCCTGTTCTAGACCTCTGGATGAAAGTTTCAGACATATACATCATCTACTGATAATGTACGTCTTCGTAAATATAATTATGCGATTCAGTAAGTAACTCTATATGCGGTTATTCATACTTAAACTACTGCACCATTACTTCTTATGCTTCTTCGCAATTCTTTTCAATGCACGCTGTTCATTCTTCAGAACACCATCAACCATCTTATACTTACCCTTAACTCCCTTAGGTCTTCCGCTTAAACCTCTATTGGCACCCTTTGCAACAATCAACGTCACCTTTGGTTTAACCTTTTGTTTTTTAGTTAATTTCCTCATCAATTTGGATATTTGATCGGCCTTATCCTTCTCACTCAATGCACTATCTTCATTGATCAAATCACTCTTCTTCTTCAACTTCTCTAATCTCTTCATAGCCCTCATCTTCTTACGCCCTTGAGCTTCCAACACCTTCTTGATAGGACGAGCATTCAAAGCCTTTTGCTTTTCCTTGATCGCCAAAGCTGCTTCCTTGGTTATAGGCTTGACAATCTTACTATGTCTCTTCTCATCATCAAGGAACCATTCAGGCAAGCCCTCTTTGTCTCTGAAGGAATACCGATTAATACCTTCTTCAATTAAGTCGTATTTGTTCATTTGTCCAAGTGCAACTTGGTGTGCAAGTGTCATGGCCTCAACAGTTGCAAGGTCCACACGTTCCTTTTCATTCTTAGCGGAATTGTATTGTTTTGAAATATTAATCTCACCATCAGAATCAGATTCATTGCCCTCTTCCATGTCTTGTCCAAATTCCAGCTCTCTTCCAACAACTTCAAAGTCACTGTCGCTGTCACTACCGCTATCGCTATCACTGTATTCTGATTCCAGAATACCTTCCTCGTCAACTTCCATGGCATCTGTCTTCTTCCCATTGACGTTACCGGTGCCTGGAGCAGCAGCAGTCTTGGATCCCTCCAACTCCTTTAATAATTCATCGTCATCAACCTCGTTGAAAATAGAGTCTGAGGCAAAGAAGACCGAGGCATTTTTGGATAACCCGTTCTTACCTTTTCTATTTTCGGCGATAAGTCTATTAATGGCTTCATCGCCATCACTGTCTTCCTCTTCATCACTTTCTTCAAACTTAGTGCCTTCATCATCAGATTTTTCTGCATCACTTTCAATACCCTCCCATGCTTCATCATCGACGTCTCCTCTGGCCTTCTTTGCTCGTAAGTTTGCATCTCTTTCCATTCGTCTTTCTTGGTAAGTAGCATACATGTCGTCTAACTGAGCCTCCAACTCATCAACTTCATCTGCACTATTGTCGCCTTCGGAGTCAACTCCTATATGAATGTCGTTGTCTTTAATCAATTCTTCATGGTCAAAAACCATACGTTTCTTACCTTTAGCCAACTTGTCCAATTGGCCAGTTTTCTCAGCAGTTTTTAAATTAAATAATGATTCACTTCCCAATTGACCAGCTTCCAAACCTATGTTCATATCAGTCAACATATTCATTTGCTGACGAACGATTTCCTTCTGCTTGCTTTCATTCAGTTTCTTCTTCTCTCTTCTATTCTTCAACCTTTGTTTCTCTGTCATATCATGTAAGTCCTTATCGATCTGTTGATCTTCTGTCAAGGTCTCAACAACGGTTTTTTCCTTGGACTCTTCCTTTTCATCCAATCCCAAAAGTTCTCTTGCTTGCTTTCTGAACTTAAGTATTAATTTGAACTCTTTACGACCCAACACCTTCAAATCAGTGAAACATGTCAACAATTCCTCGTTACAAGAGGGCAACTTTTTGATAATTTTCCATTCCATATCTGGGTCCCCCTTTTCTGGAACAATCAACTTATTTAAAGTACCTAATGCTTCTATGGGCTCTTCATTCTTAACAAACTCCATAATACCCATCTCATGATATAATGTATAATCACCTTCTTCATAACCTTGTCTTTGTCTAACCTTTTTATCTGGATTGAAAACTTTAGCTTCACTGTTCACCTTTTCGTTACCTAATTCCTCGAAAATCTCTCTAGGATCTAACAATCTGGGGTCCAACTTCTTTGGAGCCTTAAACCCACGACACACAACGAAGATTTCTGCAGATACATTACGTGACGCAGGAGGTTTAGTAGCCTCAACTTTGTCGAATAACTGTTGGAAAACCCACATCAAGTTATTATAGTCTCTGGAACGGAAAACCTTGGTAACAAACGTACCGCCAGCAACCAAGTTCTCCACGGCCAATTTCAAGGCCTGTAAGGTCAACTGTGATTGAGTGAAGGCATCCTGAACCCATCCTAAACCAACGTTAGGGGCACCATCATGCAAAACAGTGTCAGCTTTCCACGTCTTCATGTGTCCTCGTAATTTAGAACGACAATCTTCAGTAGTGATATCGGATTGGAAAGTAATACAGTTAGGTAAAGGCTTAATAGGAACAATATCAACACCAATAATCAAAGAGTTAACAGGACAAAGTTGAGAAGCTACTTGACACCAAGAACCTGGCGCAGCACAGAGATCAATCACCACTTTGGACTTCTCGAGGAAGTGGCCATACTTTTCATTAATTTGTACTATCTTGAATGAAGAACGAGCACGATATCCCTTTTCTTTGGCAAGGTAATAGTACTTATCTAAACGTCCTTTACTATTCTTCTTCTGTGTCTTCCCCATTGTTACACGTTATATATATGTTTAGTACTTGGTCTTTATCGAAACAGCACCTTATTAGAAGTGACGATCATCACTTTGTACTTTTCAGTTTGTATGCGATGAGCATCTGGAAAAGTTCAGAGGCACAAAACGAGTATATCGTAACATTACATAATCAATAGACACGACTTACCTACCTAAGAGTACCTCTATAGTTCCCATTCGCTCATTAACAGCTTATGAGCAATGGGATCTACTAAGGCCAAATCCACAGTTGAAATATTCTGCTCATTGCATAAGGGACAACTAGTAAGTAATAGAGCATCTAATTCATGTTTATCAACCATCTTACCAGATTTAAAGGCATCATAAAGCTTTCGGAACTTGTAGTTGTTCTTAAGTTTAAGATAAAACTTGATGAGACAATCCTTGTGAAAATTATGCAAACAATTGGGGAAAACAATGAAATTTCTATCAACAAGTAGTTTATGACAGAGACGACAAGACTCACCAGGTTCAATTAGTGTGAGAACTTCTGTGCTTGAGGTGTTTTCAACTTGTTGTTCTTTAAGTTTCTTATAAATGCTAAGAGACTCATTCATTTCGTTGGAAAGCTGGTTTATATTGGAATTATATGTGTTCAACGACGTAATTATCTCTTGCTTGAATTCACTGATATTGATAGACTCAGGGAAAAGTGGCAACAAGTCCTTCAACATTAAAAAGCCTCCTTTCAACAAGTAATGCAATGCTTTGTTTAATTCAGCAGTTTCCCCGTTGATATGATGATCATCGTTGCTTCCATTTTGAGAAAAGTATTCAAATGATTCTTCTTGAAGTATACTGAATTTTTGGCCCGCTATTACCCCATCTATCAAGTACTTGGCAAACATTAGTTTAAGCTTTTCCTTAGTGGAGTAGTTCTTATCATGAAGTTTTATAGCTGAGAAATTAATGACTCCTTCTTCTGTATCCAGAAACAGAGCTCCATTTCTTAAGGTCCCATCCCCAGAGTTCATATTCTCCCTTTTCAAGTATTCATCGTATTGAATCAATACAAACTCACCCAATTCAACCAAGTCACGACTTAGAGCCAATTGCAAAGCTTGTTCAAACAATGCCAGATGTATACAAAATTGCACTGCCAGCTCATAATTGTGGGTTTGATTCAATGATAGCCGTAACAAGTAATTTTTATCAAAATTCAGTGTCTTATTAAGAATTTGGACAATTTGCTTATTAGAAGCCGGTGAGTTTATGGTTATCAATAACAGTAGGTAATAGTTATTGACAATTCGAGAATTCGTAATACCTTTTTCAAGAATGATTCTTTGTAGGAAATAACAACCATAGTTTTCTTCAAGTTTCTTTGACTTTAATTGGCGATTATACACCAAAATTGCTGCAAGGAAACGTTCGTATTGAATGTTTTTAAATTTTAGCCATGTTTCAACAGTCTTTTTGGGGAAATTTAAAAGTAATATAGTTGCAGTGGAATAAATGATTTCATTGGAAAGCGATTCCTCATTGTAAACATGAACAATATACTTTAATGCATTTTTCCAATCTTCTCTTTCAATATAATAATTGACAATAGTTTCATAATCTTGTATAAATTCAGCATATTCAACTAACTTATCATGAGCACTAAAGTCTTTCATTATTTGGTACACGATTGGAGTATCTAGAACCTTGTAGTTCTTTTTCAAAAATTCAGTCAACTGGGAATTCAATATTTCATGATGGGAGTTCTGATTCTTTTGATATAATCCTGTCAATATTAAACGTATCAACCAACTTGATAGTATAACTTTTCTGATTTTGCTATTTTCCTTTTTTGTTTGATAGAATTTTGCCTTGATATATTCAATTAATAGAAGTAACGTAGATTCGTTCTTCATTAGCATCAACAGAACCTTTTCAAAAGGTTCTGAAGTTTCGGCTAACAAGGAAACTCCCTTTAGGGCAGCATTTGCATCGTCAGAAGTTAACAATTCATAGCTCTTCTTTATCAACACCATGTCAGATTCGTAAGTCATAGTTGGCTGTAAGCATTTCAATGATTCATCATATTTACCCATCTTATAATAGTCGTACCAAACCGATGTTTCTTCGTTTACTATAACTAATTCATAAATGTCGTTTGAAGAGTAGAGCCAAAATGTATTCTCCTTTGTATCACAGACAAACGATGCCAAATTTGTGGGGATATTGAGTGAAGTCGTATGGCTTGAAAGCTTATTCATAAATGTAATTTGACCTCTTGATTTGGTGAACACATGATGGGGAGTAATACCAATAGGACCCAGCAAATGATCCAAGAACAGTGAGGGCAATTTTCGGATTCCAGATAGCATCAATTCGGAATCTATGGTATAAAATTGACCTTCACCATAGTAGTAGATTAGTGAATTAGTGTTATTTGAGGTTAAATATGACTTTGAACCAATATTAGAAGAAGAAGAATTGTTGTACTTGTGGGAATGAGGAGTCGAAGATTTAAAAAAAGAAACTGCTTCACTATAACCTTCTGGAGCACCATTGAATTTCCATGTAGAGACAGAGGTGTTTCCAGAAAAGATATAGAGAATATTCTTCACATAGGCCATACCATTTATAGACTCGGACTCATTCAAAATTAGTTTCAAATGTTTATCAACCCTCAGTTTCGAATCAGTTGGAGTCTTAATCTCTCCTAAATAGATATCATTGGTAGAAGTGTAAGTCAAGAATAGTATGCCACCTTCTTGAGGTACCTCTTCAGGGAAAAAGATGATATCTTGAATGGAAGACCCTATTTGTTTTAGCTTTGCCAAAGGTTTAAAAGATGTCAAAAGCTTAGCATGGAGAAAATGGATTGTTCCATCTGTCAAACGAATTAGCAAATGAACCCCATTAGAATGTACCCAAGCTTGATCAAGCGTGGCATTACCTGAATCAGGATAACTGAACCTCAATACCTCAGAGGGATTCAGGAGATCAATATGATATACATAACGGGACACAAATAAGTACATGTGGTTACTTGCCACTAAAAGCTTCTGCAAGTCATTGCCTAAGGGAAATTGAAGCTGAACCTGATCTATTTCAAACAGGGGGCCTGGCATGATGTCAAAGAGAGCGGTTAAGGGTCTTGCGTATGTAAAGCAAGCGATTTAATATGGAGTACTCAGTATCAGTATTAAGTAAGCGATTGAGATTTAACTAAACAAAAACAGACAATATCACGTGATAGTTCACGTGACAGAATAATTGGCCAACGGAGTATATATCGAAGGACTAAGATATATTAGTGGGAATTCATCACCAGATAGAACTTTGAACCGAACCCTGAGACGAACTTTGAATGATTGAACATCGGCAGAGTAATCATCAAGATCATTCAAAATATCATTTAACCAATGACATCATCTTACTCAATTAAACTCGAGATCTTGTTACCCTACCCTTTAATTTTACTGTCGTATTCTGTTATATGAACCTCGTAATTCTCGATGTTTTGCCGTGACTCTATTAGATCTAACAGCCTCTTCGGACTGGGCTATGAAACCGATGGAGTCATGACGGCATTATTGTGCTACCTTTATTGAATGGTGGCCTGCACTCAATGTACAGGTTTCTCATTCATTCACTCATTGAAGTTCCCCTAAATTGGAGATTTTATATAGGTTTGGTGGTGGACAGAACCAAATCGTAGCAACTAATTTGTTTAGACTCTTTTTGTTTTCACTAATACTGTTGTGTTGTTATTTGGTGGTACTTTGATAAATTTAACATACAGTTGCAATTGGGCCGACCTATAGGGAAGCTGAAAACTAGTGAACACGAGCAGATAAAGTTGTACACAACATGAATGTGTTGAAGTTACTGAAGAAATATCCTATCTTGGAACAAGCTGATTTGTACGGAATAATTGAAGATTTCCGTGCAATTGATTTAGAGGAAAAGGGATGGGTAGAGAAGAAGGACGTTATTAATTCTGTTTCCAAGAAGGGGAAGTATACTTATGATGAAGCAAGAGAAACCTTAAAGCAAGTCGATGTTGATGCTTCGGGTCATGTTGAATTGGACGATTATGTTCAATTGATGGCCAAGTTAAAGGAAGGTGACACAGGCTCAATTTCCAGCTCTTCCGCTGCTCCAATCACTACTGGTGGTTTGGCTCCAGCTGGTTCAAGAGTTGTCAGTGGTCATATGAGAAAGCCTTCCAATTCTGGTCTGGCTTCAGAAGCTCCAACTTCACCTAGAAAAACTTATCTAGGAGGCTCTACCTCTGGTACAACTCATACCGTTAATGATGAAGAACGGACTGAATTCACCAGACATATTAACTCCGTGTTGGCTGGAGACGATCATGTTGGTAACCGTTTGCCATTCGACACAGAAACTTTCCAAATCTTTGATGAGTGTAGAGATGGTTTGGTATTATCAAAATTGATCAATGATTCTGTTCCAGATACCATTGATACCAGAGTTTTGAATTTGCCCAAACCAAAGAAAGAATTGAACAACTTCCAAATGAGTGAAAATGCAAATATTGTCATTAACTCCGCCAAGGCTATTGGATGCGTTGTTGTGAATGTGCATTCTGAAGATATTATTGATGGGAAGGAACATTTGATATTGGGTTTAATCTGGCAAATCATTAGAAGAGGATTGTTGTCTAAGGTGGATATTAAGTATCATCCTGAATTGTATCGTTTATTGGAAGATGACGAGACTTTAGAACAATTCTTGAGATTACCTCCAGAACAAATTTTGTTAAGATGGTTTAATTATCATTTGAAGAATGCTGGCTCTCAAAGAAGAGTTACCAACTTTTCTAAGGACGTTAGTGATGGTGAAAATTATACTGTTCTTATGAATCAATTAGTTCCTGAATCTTGTGGGTTGGAACCTTTACAAATCCATGATCATTTGCAAAGAGCAGAGAAGATTTTGGACAATGCTGAAACCATTGGATGTAGAAAGTATTTGACGCCAACTTCTTTGGTTTCTGGTAACCCCAAATTGAACTTGGCTTTCGTCGCTAATTTGTTTAATACTTATCCATGTTTGGAACCAATTGCTGAAGAAGAAAAGCCAGTAATTGAAGATTTTGATGCTGAAGGTGAAAGAGAAGCCAGAGTATTCACTTTGTGGTTGAATTCATTGGATGTAGACCCTCCTGTGATTACTCTTTTCGAAGATTTAAAGGATGGTTTGGTGTTATTGCAAGCTTACGACAAGGTCATCCCTGGATCTGTTTCCTTTAAGCATATAAACAAGAAACCAGCTAACGGAGGAGAATTGATGAGATTCAAAGCCTTGGAAAACACCAACTATGCTGTTGAAATTGGGAAAGCCAACAAGTTTTCCTTAGTTGGTATTGAAGGTAGCGATATCACTGATGGTAACAAGTTATTGACATTAGGGTTAGTATGGCAATTGATGAGAAGAAATATTGTCAATACATTGGCATCTTTATCATCAGTCAATGCAAACTTGAGCGATAGTGATATGTTGAAATGGGCTAATGCCCTTGTTACTAAAGGTGGGAAGACTAATACTGCTAGGTCCTTCAAGGATCCTTCAATCAGTTCTGCCAATTTCTTTTTGGACATCTTGAACGGATTGAAGCCCGGTTATGTCGATTACGATTTGGTTTACCAAGGTACTAACTTGAGCGAAGAAGAGAAGTATGCCAATGCTCGTTTGGCTATTTCTATTGCTAGAAAGTTGGGAGCTTTGATTTGGTTAGTTCCAGAAGACATTAACGAAGTTAGAAGTAGATTGGTTTTATCCTTCGTTGGCTCATTAATGCTTGTGGAAAAAAGTACCAAGTAACCAAAAAGAAGGTTGTAAAGATTTTTTATGTATTTCTATGTATTGTATTGATAAAGACCATACTTGGTGGTAGAGACTTTACATATTGGATAGATTTGAACTTCACACGACGTTGTACTCAACTAGCGCTACCAATAAAAATAAAAATATCCCTCCAATGAAAATGAGAATATAGACAAAAAAAGAGTTAACTACTATCCACAATAGATAACTATCTTGTGAGGAAGTCATATAGCCAGGGAGACATGTCTGGTAAGATCTTGCCCTTTACTGAGGCCAACAGCAAGAGAATTGCTTCATTATTTAGACAAGCGATGAGAAGTGCTTTTGACAACACTGTCAAGTTCGATGCGTACAGAAACGCTACCATCAACATCAGACAACGTATTGAAGCCAATAGACATGTTTCTGATGCCGAAGAGTTGGATCAAATTATTCAAGCATTTAAAGCAGAATTGAAGGAATGGGAAGTTCCAGATCCATACATTCCTCCATCAAGACCAGGGGGAACCAAGTTTTACAGAAATGCACCTGACCCAAGAGAAACTGAAAAGGTTGTACCTGGTGATTGGTAAAGAATAAGACATTGCAGCATTTAATAAAGAGAAAAGATCAAGGGATTATTATATATCACCATTAGTTCCAATACATACATAAAATGATATTAAATAATAAAATATAATTTATACGATAAATTCAAGCACGAGCATGGAAACTGATTATTTCCAGATACAAGCTCAATTTCATCTCAGAAATTGATATATCGTCCTTGCAACTATCATAAGGAAACTCACTAACGTCAAACGGGGTTGTTGTAGGTTCATCTTCCGGCTGATGATAAAGCAGAAGATAAGGATGACATAGAGCTTCATCCACAGTGATCCGTTTACGGGGATCGAATGTAAGCATTCTTTTGAGCAAATCTAGACCTTCGGGATTGATTGGTGTATACCCATACCGTTTTATTTTCTGGGGATGAGAATTAAACCACACATCCAAATCCACCGGTTTACATTCTGGCATTCTCATTTTCACAAAATCACTGGCTCTTTTCAGTTCTATGGCCAGCCAATCATCTGGAGTTTGTGGGGTTCCTAACAATTGGAAAATAAGTTCTAACTGTTGGATGTGATTCCTACCCGGGAATAAGGGGACCCCGGTAAACATTTCTGCTAGAATACATCCCACAGACCAAACATCGATTGCAAAAGTGTATTGAGAATGTGAAAGCATAATCTCTGGTGCTCTGTACCATCTTGTAGCCACATACTCTGTTAATATGGAAATCAGATTATTCTTTCTTTGTTCTTGAGGAGAAATGGCAAGTCTAGCTAACCCAAAATCACATATTCTCAAAGTACATTCATGATCCACTAAAATGTTACTTGGTTTCAAGTCTCTGTGAATCACATTCGCACTATGAATCATCTTTAACCCTCGAAGTATTTGATAGACGAAATATTGAAAGTATTCATCACCAAGTACCTGTTTCTGGATCACATGATATAGATCAGTATCCACATATTCCTGAATGATATATACTTCGTTAAATTCATCGTAGTTTGGGGGTTTCTGGATATCATGCATTGTGACGATATTCTCATGATGACGAAACTTTTGTAAGAGTTGTATTTCTCTCAAAGTCCGAAGACACGAAAGAGGTTTATCAAAGGGATCAATACGTTTGATGGCTACCTTTATCCCCGTAGGTTTATGAAGGGCCATGCATACTGTACCATAGGCTCCAGAGCCGAGGACTGGTCCAAGTTTGAATGAAGAAGAAATGTTGAACACAAGATCTTCCTTCATGATTATGGGGATGGTTCTACTTTATGCCATAATGAAGAACCATACAAATACACGCATATATATATATATATATACCTATGTATAATTGTATGTATGTAAAAGTGTGTCATGGAAGGAGTTATTTTATGTTTGAAGTAGGTGTATCTGATACATGGCCATGCAACTTTATTCAAATGTGCCCATTGAACTGAGCGCCGTAAAAATAAGGTACCAAACAATAGAGCTGAATAATTCAAAGCCTAAAACAATAGTAGAATAGAAGTATTAAAGGAGTTCTATTTTATAATTAGATCAGATGATAATCGTATTGGCTTTAAACTAGATGGTACTGTGTGTCTCTGTATGTGTATTGAGATGGTTGTTTCAGGAGAAAGGCACACATGAGGGATGAAGCAAACAAATCTGTCCATAAAAAGGGAATTAACAATCGAATATAAAAGCTGTAAAAATTCTTTCTAAAGTTAGGGATTCGATAAACATCTTATCTCCTTCCTAGACCTGAAACACACACACACACACACACACATTCACACACACAATTGATTTATGTATCTAAGCTGTTAGATAAATGTCAAATACAACTGAACACCATCATCAGTCAATAAGCAATAGTATGAGCCTTCCTAGTGTTGTTTCAGATGTAATTATCAATCTTTAACGCATAGGGATAGTTGTAACTACCCCTTAAATAATAGTATTTACTCAGAGTACTAATCGACAAAACATTAATTAATTCTGAAGTATTCGATTTACACTTACGTGTTCGTCACATTTAATTTCTGCAAATCTAGTTTTAATTAAAGATTCAATTATTAACAATACTAGATCATTGTTGCAGCAAGTGGTTTGAAATAATCCCGAAGATCTCTTGAATATTTCACATACATCGCAGAAATTTCTCGGCGCTACCTACACAAAGAGAAATACATAAACGACTGCATAGCGTAGAAAAATGAGTTTATAAATCGTAATTGGCAACTTGTCCGAGTGGTTAAGGAGAAAGATTAGAAATCTTTTGGGCTTTGCCCGCGCAGGTTCGAATCCTGCAGTTGTCGTTCTTTTTATTTTTGAACTCCCTTTTCCATCATAGTTATTAAGGGTAGTCGTGGACCACCTAGGTTACATAGTTGAATAATAATTTCAATACAACAAAACGTAACATACTTCAAAGTACTATAAAGTCAAATCCCATTCACAGTTACGTTTAATAACAAAAGTTCAATATTTGAATAATTTCTGTAAATTGCCATAAAAATAGAATGGCTATAATTCAATAAAACTCCGATACTATGAGGACTTTGATCGGCTTTTCGGCTTTAACATGTGCACCGTAAGGGGGTGGTATAAGTTCCGGAATCATAAAAACTACGAATCCGGAACAAACCAACCAAAAAGCCATATCCTTCAGCTAGAAAAAAAACTAACGAAAAGCAGTGGTGTTCCCTCGAATTTTTTATATATCCGAGAGAAATAATTCCACCTACAACGTGATAACATAACAAATAAAATAGAATAACAGCCGATAGTTGACTCCTTCGTACCGACAGCCGCACTTTTTTTTACTTCGACCCCACCACTTTATAGGATAGAACCATTGGATATTCCATGCGTCGCCGTATTTCTACTTATTAACACGCAACTCGTATAATTATCGTATCATTGCAACGTAGTATGCCCTTTGTCAATGTGCAAAACGTGAAATCCTTTTTTTTTGTATGCTATCAGCTGTTGGTCGTAGTCGAGGTCGTGGTGGTCTTAATCCAGTAGTGCTCGGTTCAACGCAAGGTAGGAGGAGTTATCAAATGATTCCAGATGTAGATGTCATACTATGGGGCTGCAAATACATCACAACAATAGTAATAATTACTATAGCCACACCATAAGAGTACCAACAGCACTGTCATATACAAGTTGTGTCTATGTCTCTATGGCTTGTGTCTATAACATCTCTATAACATTTCCGTAAGTTGTCTTTAAAATAATCCGGCCGCCCTTTTTTTTGTACGTACTTACTACAATAGTTAATTAATCATTGTAGCGACTCTCGCAAACTTTAGTTGGTTTTTCTATTGTACTGTCACCCCTTTCTCCACATTGATTGACCAAAACATCACTCTTCCTCCTCTCTTCTTCTACTCCTTCATCGACATCGACAACACACACCAATATATTGTTTTGTCTAGTATATACATTCCCTAAATTAAATCTAGGGTTTCCGATTACAAACAACCCTACGCAAGAATTTCTATCCTATATTCATAACAAACTAATACGTTCATAATAAATGACATTGTCGCTGGCGTCGTCATTAGTGTCAACCACAACTCCGTCAGCTCCCTCGACTGGCGATACAGAGACTGCTGTTACTGAAGTGTCGACTATGGAACCCACGCTTGACTTAGGTGAAATCAAAAGATTCTTAAACCTGGAGGAATGGGAGGATGGGGTGAAGAATACGGATGTTGATTGGTTCTTGAGTTCACTGGCCATTGACTTCAATACTGCCAATAACAACATTAATAACAATAGCAGTGTTAATGTCAGTGGATCTTCAACCCCCAGTAATATATCATCCGTTAAACCAACACCCCCTCCCACTAAATCCGAAGATAATTCCCAGAAGAAGCCTTCATCTGAATCTTCATCTTCACCATTGAAGTCCTCTACTCTAATGCTGAGAAAGTCGTCAGCTTCTAGTGACTTAGAAGTAAGGACTTCACCTCACATCTCAACGCCCATCTCTAATACCAACCTGAATAACTTCAACAAGACAAAACCTTCCACCACTCTCTCAGGGGAGTTTTATCTGCCCGAGACCCCTCATTCTGGTGGTGCTCTTCCCAAACGGAAAGGGAGTGTTCTGTCTGTGGCTTCCAACGGTTCCATCAACTCACAAGCTTCATCTTCTTCATCTTTAGGTGGATCAGGAGGTGGCGGATTCTTTTCAAAATTGAAGGGGAAACTCATGAAATCTCAGGAGGATGTCCATTCATCAACGGCCGCTTTGAATACCATCTCCAATTCAAAATCTCGAACCTACAGCGAACTAGGAAGAACTCGCTCTCATTCAACGTCATCCAGTAACAATAATACTACTAACATTAATAATACTCATAATACAGAGAAGGCTAACACTATACATGAATCTGGTCCATTTCCAACATCACCTAATACGAATTCCAATCCTTCTTTGTTCAAGTCAAATTATTCAGTTAATACTGCAAATTCCAGAAGAAGCACTAATAATGATGATAATGACAACGGCACCGTCCCTCTCACCAGATCAAGAACCACAGGTGGACTCAAATGCTCTGGTGGTACTGCAAATGACGGCAAATGTATGTATTATTCCGAGACCAATGAAAAGTTGCATGATATTAGTGAGTACAACTCGAGCCACAGACTCACACGATCCAAATCATTTTCTAGTGCTTCAGGTGTGGAGATTACTGACCCCAGATTAATCGAATATATCAAGTTCTTCCAGATCCCTTGTCAGAGACTTCGTAAATCTTCGATGAAGAAAGGTTCCATTCAAAGAGCTCGTGCAAGTATTTCTGGACTGCTGACAGGTCAATCTTCATTAACAAGCTCCTCACCTCCTGAAGGGTCCAAATTTTCATTCCTTCGTCGGAAATCAGTAGCTAGTACAGAAACATCTCCACCTATGTCAGAGGCAACCTCTATGGATGATACTAAGGAGGAATCTCCAGACTTGGTGACCGAAGCTTCCAATGTTTTACCTGAGTTCAAGGGTATACGTCCACTTAAAAGAGTTGCCTTCCATCTGACCACCTTCTTAATTGATCCTCCTCAACAAATTCCTTCCCGTACTCCTAGAAAGGGTAACGTGGACATTTTACCAAATGGTACAGTAAAAATCAACCCCCTTACTGATTCTGATAGAATTGCAATTGAAAAGCTGTTGATGGGCCAAGGTGGTGGTATTGTTATTGGAGGTAGCGGAGCTTTAGGTTACTTGAAGAAGGACGATAATGATGAAAGCTCTACCGATAGTTCAAACAAGACAGCTTCTGTTGATCCCTCCGATGAAGCTATAGACAAAAGGGCAAAGTCATTAGCAATTGAAAAGCCAATACCTACCAAAGCCTATTCTTATAGAGCACCTGTGAAGAAAATGGCTTTAGACTTGATGTATACAAGGTGTTGCCATTTACGTGAGATTTTACCAATTCCAGGTATTCTTAAACAAATTCCAAAGGGTTCAATGGCTCCTTTACCTCTTTTACAATTACGGAATCCAACGCCTACAATGGTTGAAATCCAGACATTTGCGGATTTTATCCGTATAGCACCAATTGTTTGTGTTTCATTAGATGGTGTTAGTTTATCAATTGAACAATTCAAAATCTTGTTATCTGCAATGGCATCAAAGACTCAATTAGAGAAGTTGTCACTTCGGAATACCCCTATTGATCAGAATGGTTGGCTGCTTCTCTGTTGGTTTCTTAGCAGGAATAGAGTATTAAATAGATTAGACATTACTCAATGTCCAGTGCTTGCCGTTAATGTTATCAAGAAGAAGAAAAAGAAAAATCTAGCACTGGGGAAGGAAGTTGATGAGTTAGTTAGAATGACATGCAACCGTGAAAATAGGTCCGATATGGATTGGTCTCTTTTCACGGCCACTATTGTGGCCAGAGGAGGTATTAATGAATTAATATTGACTGGATGTTGCATTACTGATCAAGAGTTATTTGAAAACTTGGTTAAGTTTGGTGTTGCAATCAAGACGGATAGACTTGGATTGGCATATAATAATTTGACTCCCAGACAATTGAAAGTTGTGGTTACCGAATGGTTGATGAAACCATTTTGTTCAGGAATTGACTTGGGATACAATGATTTATCCTCAATGGCTCATTTAAAGGTGTTAACTGATTTGTTGCGTAATAGCCCTGACATTACTAAATCATTATATGAATCCAAAATTCTGTTCATCAGTTTGAATTGTACCAATTTACGGTTCAACGATGAGTTCAAATTTATTTTTGAGGAGTTATTGATGAAATTAGAATCCTTAAAATATCTCGATTTATCAAATAATGCCAAATTGTTCGCTACTGGCACCAAGGATGAAGAAGCCATTTGCCAATTCTTTACTGATAGATTACCTTTATTTCCCAAGTTGAAACGGTTGCATTTGGAGAACCTTAATTTTTCTCAGGATTCATTATTGAGTTTATCCAATATCATCCCATTCTGCACCAATTTGGGCTATTTATCACTTTTAGGAAACAAGATTGATTTGGGTACTGCCACAGCACTAATTCAAGCCTTAAAAAATTCTCAGAGTTTAGTGACATTGGACTTGGATTATGAAGATTATCCACATATCTTCAAAGAAAGAATTGGGTTATATACCATGAGAAATATGGAAAGATTATTAAGGAATACCCATAAGTCGTCACCTGTTGGTGGTGATCAGATTACGGAAAGTGATACACTTACAGCCCAATTGACGCATTTGTTGAGCCTTAAAGCCGAGAACAAGTTGGATTTGAAATCACCTGAGGTCACAGCTTTTGTAAAAAAGTGTAATTCTGTGAGAGCCAATTTGACTGAGTCGATCAATGCCTTGCTACAGATTCAATTGAATAATGAACTTAATTTGGAAGGTAAAGAAACTTTGGTGAGGTTTTTATTTATAAATTCCACCATTGCTAAGGGGATGTCATTAATTGATTTAAGTTTAGTTGAAAAGGAGCCCCAAAAGTTTGATATAGAGTTATTCGAAGATGAACGGAAGAAGAACATTAAAGAGGAACAAGAGAAGTTTGAGAATGAAATCTCTGCCAATTTATTAGTCCCTAGACCGCAACCAACCATCATTGAAGATGAAGCGACAACTTTAAAGAAGAATAGTTCCAGAACCAATTTAAAGGATTTGAATCGTGAAGAAGGGTCAATAATGAAGCTTAGTAAGTTTAAGAATCAAGAGATGCTTGATTCAATGCAAGATGTCTCTGGAGAAGAACTTAGACGGACACTTTATGACATCAACATTACAGACTTAGACACCATTGTGAAAAACCTAAAGATGATGAAAGATAAGGGTATATCACTTCAATCAGTTTTTCCCAAAGGAGACGGTGACTTGCTAGACCTTGATCAGATCCGAATCAGACTAGGACAATTGGCTCAAGACAGTTGTACTAATCTTGACCACAGTGAGTTGGATAAATTGCATCCAGATGTCAGAGGGTCAGGTACAATGCATGGAGAGAACGGAGTTTCTGCTGATGGCACTGAGACTCAAAAGCCCGAGCTGTACACCGACCATGATTCTGATGCTGATGCCATTCGATTATCACTTCGAAGAATGCTTGAGAAGTCACTGAAGGCTCATGGCAATCTGGATGGTAAAATCATCAGCGAAGCGTACGATTCTTTGCTTAAGACATTTGCAAAGTTTCCTAAGGGCCTTTGTCTTCTTCCAAGTAAGAACGAAGAACAGACAAAAGAGGACAAACAATACTAATAATAATGTATACTATACTATACTATACTATATTTATACTATACTGTAATTATACTTGACTTTATACTATATATATATCGTTACACGCACGACTTTTAATCATAATCATCATCACTGTATTCTTCCTTCCCATGATCCTCTTCTCCACCATCTACTACGCCAGAATCGCCCTCTTCTTCTTCCAAGTCCTCGCACGCGTCGATCCAGTCGGAATATATGTCGACCGGCTGACTCAACGAGTTGATGGCGGTTTGGAACGACTGACCACAAATCTTGCAGTGTAAAAGACCCAATGAGTTCTTCTTGTCTAAAGTGCAAATGATGGACTTTTCATGGTTGCAAAACAAACAGTTGAATGTCGTGTCCAACGTTTGCTTGACCTTCTTCACGGGTTTCGCCGACGACTTTCTCTTTCCCATTGTCTATTAATATTGTTGTTGATGCCTGTTGATGGGTAAGAATAAGAGTTGGTGTAGTGACAATCTTTGAATGTCGCATAGATCACTACTATTCTGATTACGTAATGATTACATAAGCAAACTGGCCGCTTTACAACGATTGAAGACATTAAGTACCTCGGTCTAAATACACTTAACACGGTAATACAACTCTAATTCTATTATCTATATGCCCTTTAACGCTTCGGCAACACTACCATTTGCAGGGAACAAGACCATGCTTCTTTGTATTGACCGCAAGTCTTCCATCTTAGCATACAACTCAGCGTACTTGGGTGCAGGAAGCTTGGAGTCTTTCAATCCAGCTATAGCCAAAGCCATTCTGTTATTGAGCTGTGTCCATACAGAATAGTCCGATGGGAACAAAATAGCATTCCTTTGCCAAATGTCCTTTGCATTGAACGTCCCCATACGTTCATTGATTTGCGAGAGCAATGAGGGTATAAGTTTCCGCTTGTCATTTTGTAGTTCTTCCAACAGAAGACACCGTAATTCATCTTTAACAGCTTCAAAGTATTCACTGATGTTATCAACAAGTGCAATACACCCAAGAATAAGTACAACTAACAATGAGGACCCATGGCTCTCAATGTATGAGAACAATTGATCCAATGATGCTTGTTTGGTGTCTTCAGTTCCCAAGGCATTCAAGATTTGTGCAGTCAAACAAATCAAGGTATGATTATCACCATGGGTGGTCAAAATCTCTTGCAATTGCTCCAAGGCTTCATCATATTGTCCATCAAAAAACAAACTTAAACCTATGACTATCCGTGCCGAAAGAATCGTATCGAGAATAGCTTTAGCTTTAGCACTATTATTATCATCATCTGCTTCCAATGCACCGACAATTTCCATACTAAACTGAGCACATTCGATGGCATTTTCATAGTCTTCATGGCCAAGGTATACCCTTGCTAATTGTGCTCTGGTTTCTGCAATCTCTAAAGCCGTTTTGGTGTTGCCGGTTGTGTCATACTCCTTTTCAAGCAACTTATAAAGTCGTTCACCAACAGTGATAGCATTCCGGTAATCCTTACAACGTTCACTGATTGATAAGGCAATCTTCAAAGCAATCACATCATTAGGTCTAAACTTAAAGTATGAAGTCATGGCAAAGTTGGCAATGGATAATTCTTGGGCAGTTTCAACATCTCTCAAGTCACTAGAATTACTCACAAGTCGCTTATTAATAATGCATAAAGCATAAAGCAACTGTGCCAAATGTGATCTTCCATTGGATACAACATATCCATGAATAAATAACCGTTGAGCAGCTTCAGCATCTCCAGGTTCCCCAGAATTTTCGGATGCAATTGCCTGACCTAACCAGGGGAACGATTGAAGTGGTGCAACAGATTGCGCCCGTAAAAAAGTCTCTTTTGCTAATTCAATATCACCATACTTCAAATATAAGGTGGCTAAATTACACCACACAGAGGCGTCTTTAGTTTCAAGTGCAGATGCCTTAATGAAACAATGCTGAGCAACCAAGGCATTAAATGGCACATATGTATTCCCAAGTGCAACCCAGAAGGTTGCATTCTTTGGTTCCAATTGAATGGCTCTCTTGAAACATTTCAAGGCCAAATCTCTGTACTTGGTAACTTCATCGTTGAGTTGATAAGCATCATAATACCCTAAACCCAAATTGAAGATTGCTGCTGCTCTCACACTATTATTTCTTCTTATTGGCAATGAGGCCACTCCCATTTTACCAGATAGAATTAATGCTCTCAAAACATTATCCTTCATGTCATAATTTTCTTCTTCCATATTGAACACGGTGATATTATCAACATAGGTAACCTCATCAATGAATTCCTGTTCTGAATCCAGATGATTTAAAATACCATCACACACGTGAAATATCTGTTGCAACTTTTCCTGTGGTACTTCATCTAATCTTCCTTGGATTACAAGAAAGACCCGAAGACAATCACCTAAAGCCTTCCACAACATCTGTGACTTCAGATCTATTAAAACACTTTGATATATATAATCAATGGCTTGGATAATAGCTTCAGTTGCTCTTCCAAAAAAGTTTCCTTGAACCAAGTACTTTGAGGAGGCCAAGAGGGACTCATAAATCGCTGCCAACACAACGTTTTCCTTTGGTGCTAACTCTAAAGCTTCGAATAAAATGGCTTGACCAATATCATACTCTCCCATGTCACATTGAACCTTCCCCAACATATATTTGATTATCCAAGAATCTGGACTCTTCTCACTTGCAAACGTGAACACCTTGCTTGCAGCATCCAATCTACCACAACTAGAATATGCTTCACCCAACCCTATCCAACATTCCAAGTCCATCGAGGTCATTCTCAAAGCTGCTTGAAACCATTCGATAGCTTTAGCATCATCTTGCTTGTTCAAAGCGGAACACCCAAGAACTCTATAGGGCCAGGATTTATCTTCATCCTCATTGTTAACGCTGAGCAAAAACCTTCTTGATCTTTCGGATTCAATGATTCTTTGACAAATGATCTCGGCCACGTCCCATTGATTCTTTGCTGTGAAATCTTCGACCAAGCATTTGGCCGACGAGATTTCAATAGCGTCTAACTCAAATGCCTTGAAGAAACACTTGGATGCTCTTGCAGCATCGTTATATGCATCCTTGTAGATGAAACCAAGGAAAGTATAGGCTCTTGCATTATTTTTTGAATCCTTAAGTGCTTGGATTAAATAATCATAAGCTTTCTTGATGAAATCTGCATTGGAACCATCTTCCTTAAGATATGATCTTGCAATCCGACATTCAATTGCACTTCTCAGTTCAAAACTCCGTACACTTGAACCTTGGACCAATTTAAGAGCTTTTTCCAAGTTCCTTCTACCAGCTTCAAAATCTTTTAACATGATCTGACACCACCCAAACTCCGAAACAGCATCCACAGAATCGGGTTGAAATTCAAGAACTCTAGATAGCAAAGGTGCTGCCTTCTCATAGTCTCCCATTTCTATCAAAATGACTGATTTCCCAATAGATGCTCTAACATTGTTTGGTTCATCTTGATGGACCTTGGCATATAGTTGAAGTGCTCTGGGATAATTCTTTGGAGCTTCAAAATAAGTATAGACAACTGCTTGGGAACACAAGATGTCAATTTTGGAATTTAAAAGGTCCATTCCCGATGTCCTTTTCCAATTGGCTAATTGCTTTACCGTTTCTTTACACACCGTATAAGCGTCTTGATACTCAACAAGATGAAGGAGGTAAGTAGCAAATAATCTACCTGCCAATATACTATCCTTTGCCTCGCTATACCCTTGCAGCATCAATTCGAGTATTTCCTCTGCTGATAAAGTCCTCATGCTAGTATCATTCTGATTATCACTGATTTTGTTACTATTATTCTGAACAGTACTCTTCAAAAGTTCAATTTGTTCAGTTGTGAGACCCTCTACATCATCTAGCGATTGAGGAGTCGTAATATTCTCAGAATTCGTGGTTGTTATTTGTATCTTTTGAAGAATGCTGTCTTTGTCTTCAATGGTACAAATGTCAGACATAAGATATGCCAAAAGTACTCGGGCCAAGGGGTCCAGTTCATACTCCCCAATGAAGTAAACCAAATTGGATATATTCAAATCAGTAGCAGCAAAGCCATTAACATCACATAAATCCCAGTACAACCTCCAACAATGCAAATTTTTGGTTTTGATGAAAACCATATCATCCACAAACTCTTTGAATTCCAAACCAGCTTCTTTTGTTTGATGAACCTTGAGTAATTCTAGTTTGTATGACAAGTATTTATCTTCATACTTTGCTCTCAAATCATCATCATCTGTTATACTTAAAAAGAGCTCATACAATTTAGGTAACTTCAGATGTTTCCTAGCATCCCAAGTTTTATCCCGTATTATTTGCTGTTGGGCAGCAGAAAGGTTTGCAGAAAACTTCATCCGTTCCTTTGCAACTATAGTCTTCACTTCTTCATCTTCCTTCTTACTGAAAAATTCAATTGCATCTCGAACATTCTTATTCATGCCTCCAAACATGCGATCTTGTCCAATCATATCACCCAAGGACGACCCCAACCCCGGGATGATGTTATTCAAATAAATCTCGTAGAGGACCTTGTTCTGCTTATAATTGTTACGGTTCAAATACTTTTGAAAGTCATTAAGAGTATCATAAATGTTAACTTCCAATTCAAACTGTAACTCAAGATACTTTGTTAGCACGTCAAAATACAATACAAAGTCCTTACCCTTCAGAAGAAACTGATAGAACCCTTTCCAAGCCAAGGGATTTTTCGGCTCAATGTTAATGGCTTTTTCAAAGGCTTTACTGGTGTCTTCAATGTGACCAACTTGTTCTTCATATTTAGCTAAGAAGATGTGCCCAAAATAGTTATTCGGTTCCTTTTTCAAAACGAATTGGATTTCGTCATGAGCCGTTTCAGAGTCCTTTGAATCCAACGCAGCCTTTGCCGCCTTCAACGCTTTCTTGATAGCCGACATGATGAAGAACGAAGCAGAGAACAAATAGAGGCATAATTAAAGGTAGAATATTTGGATTGTCTATTCATATCAAAATCGGTAAACGAACGACCATAAATAAAATATACCAGGTATAGTCAATAGCTGTAGTTTAATAAGGAGTGTTGATAAGTGTTGATAAGTAGTGTTGAATAATAAGAACCAATCTTATGAAGATCATTGCATAGTCATTCATGGCATATGGCCATTGACTGAAAGCCATTTAACTTCGCCGATACCTTTACAATTCTTCTTTGTTTCGTCTTAGATCTTCGTCTTTGTTAAATGTATCAAGAACTTACTTGTAAGGCAATGAAGGGCACTTTCTTTAATAACAGCTAGGACATTATGCAAATGTACATGATGAAGCCTATTATTACTACGATATAAGTATGCTACTAACTTAGAATACGCTATGTTTCCACACCCAGCGCTACCATATTGGAAAATTTAACGGTAGCGCTTATATAATAAGACCATCTCAAAAATTTATAAGCGATGATTATGATCTTCAATTACATCTAGTGAAACTGAATTGAGTTATAAGGGTGACTTGGCACCGTAATGCTGCAGAAGAATAACCAGATACCGGACTCTGCACGGATTCAATCACCGCTCTCATATCTTTTCAGTAGTGTTGCAACTACGCATCTTGGAGAAGTGGCTGTAGTGCTCATCTCTACGTTGATTTCTCATGGACGATTAACATGTCGTGAATTATCACAACGCAGCAAACTTCTGATGAAGAAGACAAAACAAGGGTTGGTTTCCTTGGTGCAAATGAATTGTGTTCTTCATTGGAAGGAAGCAGATGGGTCTATATATTATTCATTTGATGAAGATGGAATGTTTGTTCTTATACATGGAGGTGATATAATTCACCATTTAAAAACCACATATAACGATGAGAACGTAGCAGAAGTGGTTCAAAACATTATTGCACATGGTCATCTTTCATTGAACGATTATTTGAATCAATTTGAACTTGAAGAACGTATTAGCAAAGAGAATATGTTTTTACGGTTGTATAATGATGGATGGTTAGTTCAAGTAACACCATTATCGTTCAGTCCATTGGAAGATGTTTGGCAAAGCATATATCAAGAATCATTGAGGAATACACCAAGAAATGCCACTACTTCTGAGATCAAAAGAGTCAATGAAGCTAAAGAGGCTTCCAGAATAAGATTCATGGAAATGATAGACACAAGAGATAACCCTAAAGATGCTCATATAATTGACCATGGGGTTCAGAAATTGAATCCTGAATTGGTGGTCAAGTTTAGTTTATCGAGATATGAAAAGCATTTGCGTACGGAGTTGTTAGCTGGACTCATACGTCTGAGAATAGGACCATTAACAGCAGAAATATTCCGTCATGGGTTGAAGATTGTAGAGAAGAATTCACCAAACAAAAGACACTATTTACTTAAGATTGACGGCATTATCAATGACCCAACAGATGAACAAGAGTTTGTGAGCAAAATTGAAAATCGGTTAACGGATGATCGAAAGATTGTGTTCACCGTAAGAGAGTTGCTTGCACGATTACCCAAATCAGATGAGCTTGTATTGGATGGCTCCATTTTGACGGAGAACTTTGCCAAACCATTCAAGCGGAGAATGGAAGACGATGGACCCCATATTTCCAAGAAGATAAAGTTGGAAAGTGATAGTAATAGTAGTAGTAATGGTAACGATTTTAATCCTACTACCATTGCTTTAGCTGCATCTGCATCTGCTGCCGACCAAGACTTGAATATTGTATCACATCATTTACGTCTATTGACAGCACAATCTTTCCTTATAGAAGTATCACCAGGAAGCTTTGCGGTACCATTCACCTCGTTAACTGAAAAGTTGAGAGAACATAACTTTGAGATGTTAGTGAAATCTACGTTGGGACCAAGTAGTTTCCGGATATTAAGATGCCTCAAGAGGTTGAAGTTGGGAGACGAGAAGCTGATAGCCAGTGAAGTGTTTCTTAAGGGGGAGGATTTGAGAAGTGCCTTATACAAGTTGGTACTTAATAAAGTAGTAGAGATACAGGAGGTACCTAGAAGTGCTGATCGTGCTGCCTCAAAAACATTCTTCCTTTATAGACACAAGCCATTCACAAGTTACCTGTATCTTAAGGAACTGCTTTGCTTTTCTATGGCACAATGTGTATCGCAGGTACAAAAGTTCCGTGATGAGAATAAGCTTTTACTTAGTAAGACAGAAAGAGTTGACGTTAAGGGGTTTGAGGAAGAAATGTTAATGGAACTGGATTTTAAAGCGTTGCAGAAACTTCGTCAAAGAGAGCTTTTCAACCTTGGTAAGTTTAATCGAATTAAAAGCTTGTACAGCATATTTCAATAGCAATAATAGTACGAGTATTATAATAATAATAACAATTATTATGTTTGGGTACGTTTGACTAGTTGACGTTAGCAGAACACCCGAGTATATTTGCCTGATTCAGTAACTGTCAAGTGGAACATGCGTTATTGTTTTTCACACCAATCACATAATATACGCATCGCCTAGCAGAGCAAATCCTTAACGGTACTACATACAACTGCTTCCATATTGGGTTGGTGAAACACATGCAACCAGTTCTTGGAATTTTTGACCTTGTGATCGTTTCACTGATCAGTCTAGGCAATTTTTGATACCTTTTGGGACTGCGCGTTGTGCTACTTGCGGCAGCGTTTAGTTGCAGCGCACCTGGCGGATATAATTACTTCACTTACATGAAGTTTACAAAACTAAATGAAATATGTGCTTACAATGATGATACTATTAGTAAAAATGATATTAAGTATTATATTAAATGGTGTATAGCATTCCAACATTGGAAATGCATAAAACGTACACGAAAGCTGGGGCGATAGTAAACAGTTTAAAAGTAGAGCTCAAAATGTACAGAGCATTAAAATCTTTTCAGTGGGTATTTGACCAACCGAGTTCTTTCACCTACCATTATGCAAATTGTTTACTGGTCAGCGTCTTGACCAGGGTTGGTATCCTCGTAGTTCAACATCTTGAAAACATACCAACAAGTGGCAGAGATAAAAGAGCCCAAGAATGGACCAACCCAGTAGATCCAGTGGTAACCTGGGAAGTAAGCAGCAGCGACAGCAGCACCCAATGATCTAGCAGGGTTCAAACCGGCACCAGTGTAGTAAATACTGATCAAGTGACCAACAAACAAAGCGACACCAATGACGAATGGTGCCATAAAGGTAGCTCTTTGCTTTTCAACAGCAAGGAATAAGACAGTGGTACACAAGATAGAAGTAGCGAACATTTCAATGAAAACACCTCTAGCAATAGAACAACCACCACCTAAAGCGTTGGCAAACAAAACCTTACCTGGTGTCAAAGCAGCAGCCATACCACCAGCAGCCAAACCACCGAGAAGTTGAGCGATAAACATAACAACACCTCTAATTGGAGGAATAGCTTGGGCCAAAACCAAGGTAAGAGTGACGGCAGGGTTCAAGTTACCACCAGAGACTCTGAAAAAAATGAAAACAGAAAACATAACACCGAAACCGAAACCAAAGGCGATCATAATTATTCTGGCTGGGGTGGAACCCTCACCAGTCTTTGGAATAGCAGGGTCATGGTTGGCAACTTGAGCAATCATGTAAGCAGTCCATAAGAACAAAAAGGTACCAACAAATTCACCCAAGAAGGCCACCAAATGGTTTTGGATAGCAGAGTTAGTTGGGATCCGAGGCTTGGTGTAGACCTCAGGAGATTGAGATTCAGGATCGTTAGCCATTATGTTATGATGGGAGTGTAAATATGACGGTATTGATGGTTATGAAAAGCTCCAACTCAAAGTGATCAAAATTAAAATCGAGGGATACCATGTATTTATACTTTTCATTCTTACACATTTGCGTCTACAAGCAGGGGGGTTTGAAAGGGAAGAAGCGCATGGGAACCAAAAAAAAGTTTCTAAGAGAAAAGGCTAAAACAATCCAGGCTGGAAACAGTAAGTCTGCCAGAAACAGGAATACTAAACCTACCAAACCGAAAAAAAAAAAAATTTCATCTTGCACACGGCGATAGTTCCTTCGTTCCATCGTTTCCTTCGGGAAGATATGCATGCTATTCCAGATATGCATGCTATTCCAGGTCCATTGTTGAGGTAATAATTACTACAATTGGCTGGTTATCATACACAGACACTATCAATCTAGCTTCATCCCACCACCACTGCACACAAGGGTAGGCTTTGCGAAAAAGAAAGAATATCATCTCAAACGTGATCTCGGCTTAGTGATGCACGGCATGTTAAAGGTTGAAAGCTTGTAAATAGTGTTTGATGAGTGAGTGACACCTGTTTAACAGAGCCAATACTTAAGAAAACATACGAAGAGAACAGAACAAATCAAACAGAGCAAGAAAACAAAAATAAGAAAAAAATGGTTAGGGAGCTCATGTCAAAGTCGTGTTGAAAATTATAAGAAATGACGTACTACATGAAATAAAATCGTACAATGTAATTGACTTCTTTAAATAAATACTTGGAATTTTCGTTATGTAAGGAACGATCGAGTGATTATAGAAGGTCACTACTATTACTATTACTATTACAACAGGGCTACCTTATCCTGACCGTTAAATATTTTTCATTTCATGCATGGAGTTTTTTCTTGGACCGGGATTTAAGAGCTTAATATCCGAGGACAACATGAAATACCCTCCCTCGTACATAATTATGATTTCATTGGTCATTGTAGTAATTTAACCCTTAGTTGAAATACGCACTAAAAATTATTAACAATTACAATTATAAATACAATAATTGATCTCTACTCCTTTCAATTAGCAATGATACCTCAATTCTCAATTGAATGGTAATTGCAATACTTGCATTCTGTTCCGAACATGATGAGATTCAACCAATTATTTTATCTTTCTTTGTAGTTGAAAACCTTTGAATCATTAACGTCATTAGGCTTGGCTTTCCACTAATGGAGTGGTTTCTTCCAGAAATCAATGCGATGCGAACTGAAGAGTAGCCCAAAGTTCAAGAACCATCAAAGGAACAAATGAGGGTGCACTACAATTCCAGAGGCTTTGATCCCATCGCCTTCCAAAAGGTTTCACATGACAACCGCTCAACATTTTCTTACTAAAAATAGTCTGTAGATCCTTAGCTCCGCTATGCAAAGTCCTACATAGTATCAGCTTAAGGTATACATAGAGGATGTTAATTTTTTATTGAATCTCATCTCATCGTACCCATCCAAATTCTCGATCAAAGAACTGTTCATGGAACAATAAAGGAAGTGGCCTTGCATTGATTTTAACAATATGATCAAATATTATTAACATCCCCACAGAAGGTGTTGTGTGCATAGATTGTGTATGTGTGTGTCCACTTGCTGGTAGATATTCTTGTACAATTATTTGTTCGTATTAGGTAATGCACGAAGCTCTTTTTCAGAATCCAGTTCAACTCAATTCAACTCAATTCAATTGGATTCAATTCATTTATATTATTATTACATTTGACAGTAATAACAATAACAACAATAACAAAGAAATCTATTGTTATTCCATTTCTTCTATATGTACCACAATTGCAATTGGCTTGTTACCATGATGATCGGCCCAATTCGTGCATACAGTGGATGGTGTAGTGCTCGTTTACATTTCTTCCTAATTGGGATGAATTGAACACTTGAGTGGTCAGTCCCTCAGAGCCATAGAAAGCTTAAATTGTGGTGGGTGGTGTACAGTGGTTCCCTTTAATGTTCATACATGGTCGTGTATTTTTCATAATATGGTACAACTATCGTTACAAGTGCCAGGGAATGATCTTACCTACGTATAAATTATTCGTAATATTAGTTCTATTGACAGCTAAAAAGGCTTCGTAATAAGCCTAAAAAAATTGCGTAATTAGCCTGATTACGAAACTCTTCTTTACATTTTTACTATATTCTAATTTATTTGCTTATATAATGTACTCTTTTCTTTATTCTACACACTGATTTTTTACTCGTTTTAAATATACTCTGGATTTTCTGACCATGATATAAAAAGATACCTTGTTCAAACTGAGATCAATATGGTTCCCTGCGTGCCTACAAAACCCTTCATAGCTTTCAGTTGTGTTTTGTAAGATGGCTTCCCTCACTCTTTCTTTAAGCTGTTCCTTTCTACTTAAGTGTATTTTTTTGACTCTTGCTTTGCATTCCGACCATAACTCTTCAATTGCGTTTAGATTAGGAGAAAATGGGGGTAAGAAGATAAGTTCTAAACCACTCAGAACTACTAGAAACTGAATATAGCCTTTCTTATGAATTGCAACATTATCAAGGATTATATACTTCAAATCCTGGAGTTCTGTATTTTCAGCAACTTGTTGGATCACTGAATCCAAGAATAAATAGAGATCACCCGCTGTAGTTCCTATAGGGATCGATTTTGTAGGTTGATTATTTGGATCTAATTTTCTCTTCTTTTGAGGAAGGTTTCGGAGTTCTGGATTTTAAATCAATACATCTTTTACTCGAAATAGCGCCTAGGAATGAAACATTTACTCCTTTTACCTCTGGTACTTTTACAATTGATTTTTCTCCCACTAATGATCAACCATACTCTCTTCTTGTTGCAATATTAGATCCAGCTTCATCTATAAAAATACAGTTTCTACTAAACTTCAAAATAAGTCGCCCATTCAAACCTTTCCTGCTTGAGTTCTTCCAGATCTCTTCTTATTGGCCACATTGAGATTCGTTTAAGACTAAGCTTACGATTTTTTGTTGCATAGTTATGCAAGGTGCTAAGTTTTACATTGACATATTCAAAGTTGGCTTGCTGTCCTTCCAACATACGTTGCAAAGTGCGCGCTGGGTGTTGCACTATGCCTTGTAAGAATTCTTTATGTTCATCTGAAAGTAGAGGTTTCCGTCCACATTTCTTAGGTTACTCCTAGATACCATTGACCTCCTTTACAACCTTTTTATTCCAATTTCATCTCCAAGTGAAGGCTGTCTGTAAGGGGATATCACAAATACCAGCCGCTTTATAGACAGAACAAGAACAAGTTGCCAAAAATCTGGAGACCTTCGGGATAGTATATATATGGTCCTCAACTGTTGATTTCCAATTGTGTATTAGATGTCACCTCCACTTCAGAGGCTATCTCTACATCAGAGGCTATCTCTACATCAGAGCTGATTTCCACTTTTATCTCTGGGCTTATTTTTAAAGGAACACACACATCCATTTCAAGAGAAACACCAATACCATTGGTATTCCCTACATTATTTCCCAGCACACTTTTACACCTTAACGTATGATTGGTATCATAATCGGTATCAATACCACTCTTCTCAACTTCCATATTTCTCTGGTTCCTATTAATTTGTACTCCTTATAACTAAAACAACCAAGGAACCACATTCACACTCAAGAATCATTTTATCTTCTCCAAGATTAGATGGGTTCCCAAGAGCATCAACGTAACCCTTCAGTGTAATTTCAGCTCGCGAATCCATCAAACAAATACTTTTAGAGTTAACTTAATTATTAACAAATGTCACTTATGCATGGAGAGGTTCTATTCTAAGGAATATGCCCTAATATCTATAGTGCGCTATTTTTGGGTATCTTTTTAGTCGTTGATTTAGCACTTGCTACCCCTGTACGAAGCCTTTTTAGCTGTTATTACGTAAAATTATATCTTTATAAGAAATAGTAAAACTAATATTACTACGAAAAATTCATACGTAAGGTTTGAAGATTTCCTGGTACTTGTAACGATAATCATACTACCATATTATGAAATATACACGACGTAGTATAAACATTAAATATAACCCTATGTTAAAACTATGATAGCAAAACCAAGCAGAGGCAGCAGTTTCTTTCATTTGTTTCTTTTTTATCACAGTAGCAGCAGAAGCAGCAACATGAAGTTTGGTGCGCATCATCAAAAATGCTCTTATCTAGAGCTACAGCTTCTATTACGTTGACTACGATGACTTGATGCAACAATTGAACAAGGGATTGAAGATTAACGGTAATTTATAGAACAAATGATTCAGAGGAAGACAATAATGGGCTTCTCTTAGGTAAAACCACCATCTATGTACTTCGTATATCATCCCGCCCAGTCTAGTATCCGAAACCGAGCACTGAAGGTAACATTAAAAGGAGAATAAATATATATCTCACAATACCACCACTATTATTAGGTGCTACTCCATTCTTAGAACTTGCTGGTACAGCTACAAATATCTGACCTGAAAAACATACTAAATCTTCTTCTGTAACTATTGTGCGAGTAGCTACATTACCGTTTGCACTATTGGTACATTCCATAACCACTGTATTTCCCTTTCCCATTGTGTTTGGTAAATTTGATATTAAAAAGATGGTAGTTTTGACTCCTATTCTATTGATTATATTAATCCTTTCAATATAGATGAAACAACTCTCAATTTATATTCCTCTCCCACTTTCTTCGTAAACTTCAAGACTATTGGAGAACCAAATTACAAGAAAGATAAGAAGAATATATGAAGGATAGCGTTCGAAAATGAAAAAAAATATTCTAAGACCAAGCGCCGTGGACGGCGTCACAAGTTATTTAGGACTAAACTTACAAGATTATATGGAAGGTGCCCAGGGCATATCATTTAGAGCATAAATTGTGTGAAATTCAAGTATTTTTTTTAACTGGAAGAAAAACCTTTGCTTAAACCAAGGTTCAATTGAAGTTGAATAAAGTAAACGGACTTAGTACATCTCTCGTTTTCTCGCTTGAGTTTACAGTCGCTGTACAATCTAGTGATCTACAAGTATCGAAGCGGCCTGCAGACATTATGCATCAATTCTAAAGTGGGTAATCTAACATACGATCAGCCAGGAAATATCTTTTATTATGCTTTTGCTTTGTTTAATTGAGATCTCGAGGCTTTGATTCGTAAGTTTAAATCAATTATCTACAGTATCTGTTTCTCATAAGTTGTAAAAATAAGGGAATCAGAGATTAATAAGCCATATTGCCTGTGAAAAGCTCAGTTGGAAATGAAACCCACATTTTTCCAAACTTATCATCCTCCCACAACCTTTTTAAGTTTTGTCACCATATTGAAAGGCTGTTAGATAAAACTCAAATATAGGTGAAATACATCAGATGAATGATCAGTAGTTTGGGTATGTTCAAATTATATTATTTGTAATTTATGCTGCTTCGTAATTTTTACGAGCTGATTGGTAGTTATGAGCCTTACTTAAAAAATACAGTTCTAAGTATTCAACAGGTAAAAGCCCATAACGTTTTCTTTTGCTAGTAAAAATACTAATTATCAAAGAGTAATGAGCAATTGTTAACAAGCAAGATGACTATTGCTTACACCAGGGTACCTTTTGAAGGCCATAAGTTGCCAAAATAAGGTCAGAGAATCTAGAGTATATTTGAAACAAGTAAATAAAATCAGTATGTACATCATATAAGCAAAAAAATTGAAAATATTAATCAGAGTTTCGTAATAAGTTTTCAGGCTAATTACGAAAACTTTTTAGGCATATTACGAAGCCGTTTTAGCTGTTATTACGTATATCTTTAAAACGAAATAATAAAACTAATACTACGAAAAATTATATCTTTATACGAAGTAATAAAACTAATATTGCGAATAATTTATATGTTAGATATAAACATTCCCGGCACTTGTAACGAAAATTATACCATATTATGAAAAATACACGACCATGTATGAACATTAAAGGGAACCACTGTACACCACCCACCACAATTTAAGCTTTCTATGGTATATTTCCCCTTCTAACTCAAATTCACCAAGGTCATGTTGTGATTTCAAATACTGAATGACCATGAGGGGAGATGTCACAAACATATAGAACTTGGCTTGGCACAATCCAATTCTAAATCAATGATACCCTTCTGCTTTGGCTATTCTCAAACAGACCTTTAAGTAGGTACTATTTTCCGAATTGACGAATTCCTTTTCATTTCTGGCTCCACTGGATCTGTTTCACAAATGTCAAAGTATGATGTGTCAACGAAGGCTGGTTACGTAACCGTAGATTGACCTTTTCTTGGAATGCTGCAGTTTTACCATTCCGTTTATGATCAAACATAAATAAAGAAGTGTGTTTAAGGTTAAATCCGGGGTAAATGACTTGACAGACCTGATGATAAAAGTTTCGTACCCAACTTCCTATAACAGTAAGTCATGTCCGAGACTGTAGATTATGCCAGTTTATTACATAAAGAGTATAATCTGGAAAAGTGAATGTTTGATCATTTGACGACATGTACGCTCTATTGGAGGTCGTGGGCTACTCGATTCTAATCATCATAGTCATCATCATCTATTGTTATGGAGACCAAAACACAATAGTAAACACGGAATAAATCTGTTTCCCTCAGTGAAATAAGAGGGTAATCAGACAAGTCTAAATGTGTTGGCGATGTCAGAGGATTTGATCAATTGGATAGACTCGCTAGATAAGAGGTTCAAGACCTTGCTACACAAGCAGAACCATCAAGAGGAAGACTTGAGACGACAACAGCAAAGACAAGCAGCCGAGGAACGAGAACGATGGGAGAGTCGAGACTCGGCGTCCATGTATGAGATAGACCATCAGCAGTTTGAGCGATTGGGCCAAACACTCGAGAAGTACATCACCATGCCACATGCACAAGCAGCTGCTACAAGTAGTGTCGATCAACAGCAGAAAGTACGACCAGAAAATGATGAAGAAGAAGGAGAAGAAGAAGAAGGAGAAGAAGGAGAAGAAGGAGAAGAAGGAGAAGAAGATGAAGAAGATGAAGAAGAAGAGGAAGAGGAAATGAACGAAGAACATGCTGACGATTATGAGGACGATTCAATCATTATTTTGGACTCAGATGAAGACGAAAATGAGCAACCAAAAGTTGATATCAAACCCCACACAGTCGACTATGAAAGCTTCGAAGAAGAATTTGAAGGTCTTGATGATGAAATCGCCGACGTTATTCACGAAGACAATGAAAATAGAGAACAGGATGAAAATGTACTTGAGCATAATCAAGACCAAGACGAAGTCGTGGATGCAGAGGAAGTCGAAGAAATTGTTGATGACGATGGCGATGACAATGTCGATGACAATGAAAACGAAAGTAATAAAGAGTTTATGGATAATTCATATAGTTCAATGGCTGCAATGGCCTACATGCAAGTCAAAAGGGCCAATGTTCCAAAACAGACAACTGCAGTCCATTCCTTTACACAAGGACGTAAAGAGGATAAAGATGACGAATGTGTAAGCGATGAAATCGACGCTGAAAGTGACGAGGTCGAAGAGGAAGATGAAGATGACGAAGATGAAGAAGATGAAGAAGAAGAAGATGATGATGATGATGAAGAAGAAGATGAAGATGAAGAAAATGATGACGAAGACGTAAGTAGCAAGCTACACAATTATCAAAGTCACCCACATTACGCTGGCAAAGTCCCTAGAAAAGTACCTCGACAAAAGTCGATCGTTTCAACTAACGATCAGGCAGAAACTGATGATCGAGAAGATAGTGAAACACCCTATGGGTATGAGGATTATAGTTCACATAAATTTGACCATATAACTAAATCTTTCAATGAAAATTTGACAAGTGAGAGGATAGATTCGGATGAGTTATCTGATTCTCAGAAGTATTATATTGATAGAGGTGGCGAAGAAGAAGAAGAAGAGGAAGAAGAAGAGGAACAAGAACATACTGAAGAAGGTTCAATTGAAAGTCAAGAAGAGGAAGATGATGATAATGACAATTCCATCGAAGAAATCATCATTGATAGCGAGGATGAGGATATTGACGACATTGATCAATACAGTGACGATGAGCATGTCTTGGTTGCTCAAAAAGCTCAAAATGGTTTCAGTAATCAAGAAGTTACTTCGCCGCAAGAACAAGAGATAATACGAGAGCTTGATAATGAAGCTAATGAAGCCTATGATTATCACAAGGTTCTGATGGAACATTCACCTGAAGTTAGTGAAGGTCCAAGTGAACTGGAAGCTGATGAAATTGACGGTGATGATGAAAAAGACGAGGACGAAGAAAATGTGGATAGAGACGAAGATAAAGACGACGAAGATGAAGAGGATGAAGTCTCACAAGGAAGTAACAATTTAAATGATGATAAGGATAATGATAGAGAGACTGATTTTGAATCTGAGGTCGAGACTAAGGAGATTGAGTTTGATTTTCTGGTTGCTGAGAAGGCACTTCAAAACGTGATCTCTATGGAACACAATTCAGAACCTACTAGTCCCAAAGAGCATATCCAAGACGAACCTATTAACTCAGCTGAGGGTCTGCTGATGAACCGTACCAAATCTCATGAGAGTATAATTGAAGGCTACGTACCACCTCCTGCGCCTATATTTAAAACCATTAAAGAGTCGTCTCCCGAGGACGTTCTCGAGCAGTTAAAGGCAACCGAAGAAAGATTCCACATTAAATTGAACACGGTGAAGGAGTTGGAACACAGACTTTCTATGACAAATACTGAAGAAAATGAAAAGGAATCATCTGCTCATGAAATCAGTCAGTTACGATACTCAAATAGTCCTGAGGAAAGTGAAGACTTGCAAGAAATTATCTTGGATACAGAGAAATTAGAATCCAGTGATGCTTTCAAGTCAATTTTGGCTCCTGAAGAGAACATGGAAGACGTTGTAAATGAAAGAGTTACAGACGCTGTCGAAAGGGCTGTGGTAGAAGAACTAGGAAATGATCCTGAAAGTGAGGAAGAAGTAATACAGGCCGATATTGAAGAAATTAAATCCCACTATACAGGTGAAGAAGTATTTGAGTCTAAAGGTGAGACACAGGATGATATTTTAGATTCTATGCAAGTGGACCACCAAAAACAAAGCGATGATTTAAATCAAATTAGAGAGGCTATAGAAAAGAGATTTGAGAATAACTTGAGTCCACAAAATCAAGCAAGAAAAACTACGTATTCTGAATCAGAAAGCAGTTCTGATATTGAGATAAATGATCCAAATATTCATGATGAAAGTATTGATCCAAAGAATATTTCGAATCCCAGTAGTCATGAGATTCAAGAGCCGTCTGCAATAGACCAGGAGGAGTTCCTACGTAGGACAACAATTTTGGAAGAAGGTGATTTGGTAACTCCCAACTCATATGAAAATATGCTAGAAGACATTAGAATCCATGGTCAAGATTCAACGTATGGTGGTAGTTCTCGTGTTGTATCTGAAGGAGTTCTCTCTAAATTTAGAGCCCAAGTTGACCTGATTTCGAAGCCGGAACTCGACCGGATTTCAGATACAGATGTTAGTTCAGAGGAAGAAAGCGAAACTCTTACTGAGTCGTCCATAGGGGAAGAGAATGAGGACTTAGGCACTAAGCAATCCTCCAATACTCAAAATGAGATTCAAAAAATTAGTGATGTCTTACCAGATGAGGTTGTTATAGTTGAAAGTAAGACGGAAGAGATCAAATTTGAACCTGATTTAAACAATTCTGCCTATGGCGTAACGGACGATCTTCAAGCTAAGATGGATAGAGAAGTTGAATTTCATGAAGAACAGAGAATAAGGGCTAACAGTGTACAACAAGAGGATGCCAATGTGTTTGATTTGTATGAGAATAGACTTCTGCCAGGACTTACGCATGTGGATGAATCGGTAGTTGAAGAAGAAGAAGAAAAAGATGATGAAGATGACAAGGAGGAGGAGGATACTTCAAGTCCTTCAAAAGAGAAAATAACTGCCGAGGCAGTCGATGTCAATTCAAACTCCCAAGGAAGTGATACCAAAATATCATTAACAGAAGACAATCCAAATAGTATAGACATGAGTCTTTTGGATACGAATAGTGCTCCATTCCATTCTTCCTCTTCCCACATTTTAGAGCTCCCAACAGTTGAAGCTCAACTTAGTGATAGTTCTGATAGCAGCTTTGAAAGAGAGGAAATAATTCCTCTCCGAATACCGTCTCATAGCAGTGTTTTCTTTGCACAGCAAGCGGAGAAAAGTCAGAGCGGAGATGACGATGAGGAAGATAAGGAAAAGATGCCTACAGAGAAGAATCTTAAGGAGGAGAATCTTATGGGGAAGGATCTAGTGGTGAATACCAGCTTGTCACCTGATTATGATTCTAACGGTAAACATGAGAAAATGGAAACTAAGGAAGAGGATGCTAGTAATGAGGAAGAATTCGATGATGAGAAAAATGCTGACATCAAGGGAGACGATGCCAAAGAAGATGTTGGACGGAATCTTTTTGTTCCACTTTGTATCCCTTCACTTAAGAGTGCTTTTTTTTCTCAACAATTAGAAGACAACCAAGAAAGGGGAGAAGGCACTAGTAGAAATAAGGAAGATGAAGAAGAAGAAGCTGCCAATGTTGCTGCTGAAGAAGAAATCGAAGAAGAGGAAGAAGTGGAAGAGGAAGAAGAAGTGGAAGAGGAAGAAGAAGTGGAAGAGGAAGAAGAAGTGGAAGAGGAAGAAGAAGTGGAAGAGGAAGAGACTGAAGCAGGAGTCAACATTGAATCGGAAGAAGAACGTGTTGAACAAGACAGAACCAATGGTGATATCATTGATACCGTTGAGAATAGTTCTTCTGTCGATCGGGTAGCTCTGCTTCAGATACCTTCAAATACAAGCTCATACTTTATCGAACAATCATTGAAGGATCCAGAAGATTTTGTACAAAGTGAAGAGGAAGAAGAAGAAGAACAAGCATATAAGCTGCAAGTCGAAGAGGAAGTTGAGCAGTTAAAGGAAGAAGCCCTTTTTCAAGACACGGTCAAAGAAGACACTGAAGCACAGACTAAGGTTGTTCCACTTCGAATCCCAACACAGAATAGCGAATATTTCATTCGGCAAGATCAAATCGAAGAGAAAAGAGAAGAAGAAAGCAGCAAGTCGAACGATGGTGGTCAGGAATCAGACGCAGAAACTCAAGCTGAAACTGAGACGCCTGTAGAAGGATCTTTGTCAACACCTATGACCACAAATATGGATCATGAGGATAAGACATCTACAAAGCGACAATTCGACGATGACATTGGAAAGAATGAAGATGGGAATAAGAGACAGAAGTTAGTTTGGAGTATTATTCCATTGACTTGGTTTCAAAGGACTTTGTTTAACGAGAACAATGAACCATTTAAGCAAAGTATCGATGATTCCAAGGAAAATAACAATGTTGGACAAGAGTCCCGAACACTGCCACAAGAGGATGAGAATGTGGGAACAACTTCAGAAACCATGGAAGAAGTGAATGAAGCGAAGGAGGAAGAAGTGAATGAAGCGAAGGAGGAAGAAGTGAATGAAGCGAAGGAGGAAGAAGTGAATGAAGCGAAGGAGGAAGAAGTGAAGGAGGAAGTTTTGAAAGGTCAAGATCAAGAACAGGAACAAGAAGCTGTGAACGAACATGAAGATGAACAAGATCACGAAAAACAGTTTGATTCACCCACACAAAGCGATGAAGATATTTCCAGTATACCTATTGGCTATTCACCACTGAAACATACAAGAGAGTACAACGATGATTGGACCACCATGCTCCCACTTGAAGTACCTAAGTTAAGAAGAGTCGCGCGTGAGTATTCCAGTATTGATGAGGTGCTTGATTCAAGAGAACGGTCGTCCAGTCCAGAAGCCCGGGGAAGAAGAAGCACACGGAACTCTTCCAGTGGATGGTTTGGTTGGCGTACAACCTCGTCAGACGATACTTTAGCACTGAGGACTCGGTCCAAGTCACCATTGAAACTGACCAATATCCGGGATTTGACTCTTGATTCCGATACTCCTAAAGTCCGATCGCGGAAGAGCTCGGCCAAGGAAGTCAATTTTGATCAAGATCAAGAACACAACGATCAAGATCACGATCAAGCATTCGGCAATGGACCTCCACGCAAACGAACCAGACGAACGAGACGGCTCCAATCCAAGCTCGACGGACAAATCCACAGGTTAAATAAATAAATAAATAAATAAATAAATAAATATATTACTGAATAAATAAATACTATTTACAAGACTAACTTTATGCTATATGGGCCATTGAGAACTCATAGACCCCAAAAAAGATCATGTTAACGAGGAACGACCTGGTAACAGAAATGCCTAACCCTCGGTACATGTTACGTTCTAGTTTAGGGAACTTCAGGACCTTGTTCTGCTTTTTTGGCAATGGGTCTAGACCTTCTTGTTGTCTCAAGATCTTGGTGACTACTTCCTTCTGGATCAATGCCTTTGCGGTGTCGACGGGGAAAATCAAAGTCCAACTCAACACCCCAGAAAGACCACCAGCGATTAGTACAGACAAATGAGACGGCGAATCAAAGAAGAGTTTATTAAGGGAATGTTTCCCTAGCTCATAGATAGAGAAATAAAACCCGGACGAAAGGGAGTCTCGAAGGAAATGGTATTTGTATCCTGAGTACAACCCCATGTACCCTTCGTTTCTAATGATGATCTTGATGATCTGTAAGGTGCTTGGAGTCTTTGTGAGTCGTTTCTTGGGATCATGAGTGTCTATCAGATGCTGTCTTTGAACCAATTTGAGGATCTGAGAGTACACTTTGGTGAACTCGAATGGACACGCAAAGAGTGACACCCCCCCTCCAGCCATGGATCCGGATATAAAACATACAGGGATGTTTCTAAGCAACGGGTGCGTTCCAACACTATCTCCGTAGAGCAATTGGTATGTTTTAGGTTTGAAGAAGGTAAAGATAGAAACCCCAAGTGATTTGGAAAGGGAAGTAGACACTAAGGGAGCCCAAATACCTCGGTAGAAGCCTCGAATCCCTTCATGAGAATACGTCTTGCGTACACAGTCCCAATAGCTACTAAACTCTTTGTGGGTCTGCATACGAGTCTTGACCGTGTCCATAGGAAATCCCATCACTGTAGAGACGAATGATGCTGAGTACGCTAAGATAGTGGGTCTCCACGGTTTGAGAACCTCGGGGAAAACATACACTGCTCTTGCATGATCAATGTCACCGGTAATAGCTGGAAGCCCACTGCTCATGATCAGTAGAGATTAGAATGGCTAATGGATGATTATGAAATGTATCTCCGAGATAGCGACCTTTCTAGATCGGGGTTCATCACCTTAAACGTGAAAGCCCACGTGAAGAGTCACGTGATTCAAGCGATGGAACCAACTAATACAGCGGTGGTCTCATATGGTGATATGATACAGCTAATGGAGCCTATCCTTTAGTTTATTTGTAGTGATTTTTATATTCCATCTATAGTTAAGGTCCTTGTCATCATAGACACTGCACTAGAAGAACATACTAATTTTTAGCAACCATATAAGTGAATACTATACAAGAACTCTTACTTAATACATTACATCTGAGTATGCAGTATATTGAAATGGCCAACAAGTGAGGTTGCTGCATCCAATACCCTCAATGAGTTTTAAATCCTTGTATTCCCTTTATCAAGTCATATAACACTTAAGATTAAGTGGATTCTATTGTCTATGCATTGGTTAGAGCAATCTGGAGCACAACCTGATAAAATACATGTTTGTTATCTAATGGCTTATACATGCCGCACCAGAATGCTAGTTGGTTCTTATGGAACGCAATCAGTCTTTATTGAAATATTGGCTGAATGTAAAATTTACCAACATAAAATGCTTGAAGCAGAATGCATTTGTTTATACTTATCAGCTTGTTTTAGGAATAAAACGGGTATTATGAATTAACACGAGAAATTGCTATATCTAATAATCGCCTCTAGTAGGATTGATCTATACGGGTAGCTAGTATTACAGCTAACTGCGATCTACATCTGCTTGAATGAGGAATTTGGTTCTGCCAGTGCTTAATTCAAAGCATTTGTTCTACTGATGGGAAGATATGAAACGTTGCTGATGTGTTGCATTCTTTTCACTTCCTGCTTACTTAATCGGACACCTGTTCACCAAATAGCAAAATGTCCGCTGAAGCTATCTCTGGAAGTGACAGGCTGTACCACCTTTGAGTACACCATCTTAAAACACAATGAAAAGCACTGTAAGCCCTACATACCGCCAAAACGTATTGAGGCTAATGTATCAGCAGATCCTTCAGCAGTGCTTTTTTTTCCTTCTTTTTCATTATCCATTATTGGATGTTTTTGTAATTACCCATGGGTCCAAAATTTGATGAATCGCGCCCATGTTGGTCAACTTTAAAGGCTTTCATATGGTTTGTGTTTGCTTGTTTTTTATGCAACTATAATTTTTGCCGAAGAGTATTAACTGCATAAATAGAATTTGGAACCATAGCTTAAAATGTGGTTGCAAAAGATGCGACCACAAAGCTTAATGTTACAGAAGGCAAGACTTTATGTCGATCTTTAACGTCAATGTGAGCTCCCAAGATGCCAGAGCCAGAATGGGAAAAAATTTAACTATTTGAGAATAAAAAAGTGAATGAATATGGTAGTGAAGGAGAAGAAGTTGAGGTGTCTGTAGTCTCAGTAGCTGTCTGGGTGGTAGCAGATATAGGGATGTGAAACAATGAACTACATCGTCAAAATCTTTGTAGTAATTTGTTCACAGTCGTAGTGTAGTTTATATGAATAGTCGTGATAAACTTCCACAGGTGTTGGGTCTTTTGTCTAGCCAGAATTTATGAAATGGTTGCAACAATCTTTGACTCTACTAATTCCCATCTTCGAGATTGAACAAGCATAAATCGGAGCCCATGGTAGTGATCTCGTGATACATCACGTGACAAACAAATAGATATAGCACTACAGTCAAAATCAACTTTTCTCTCTACTTCATTTTTTACATTGTGGGTTTGCAGTAGTGTGTGCCATCATTATTATGTACAAGCTGGTTGCACGTCATATCCAATGATCGTGTCTTGTATGTAACTGTATGTTTATGTGTTTAATAACCTCTTCTCTTCGCATCTCTCACTTGGGCCATCAAATCCTTGAATCCCTTGGAGAAGTTCCGTCTCCACCATTCAGATTTCAATTGTTTTCTATATTTTGCAGGACGGATGTATCTCTTTTGAACATTCTGTAAATATCTCACATTGGTTTTTCTTAGTGTCAGTTGAAGCATTCCATATGTCAGAGCAATGGAACCGTTTCTGACATCAACTGCTGTACCAGCTTCTGGTCCGGAGATACGAATACTCTTGGCCACATCTCTTGGATGCTGTAAAGTCCGTGAAAATAAACTGGGATCTTCATTGGATCCATTGATATCAGCTCCAAACAGGAATTTGGCATCAAACAAGTTACTCTTTAATAACGTATCAATGTCGTCTGCTCCTCTGCTTTGTTTCTTTGGTTGGGCATTTGGTGTGTTACTTTGATCTGGCTTGACCGCGTCCCTTAACTCGCTCAAAATGGAGTTGTGACGAACGAGTGTCGCCCGTTTTATTCCGTTACCAAAGATACCTTGACTTATAATTCCTCTGAACATCTCTAGTATTAACTAACACTTTAAATGCTTAATTGCCAATGATACTAGTTAGTACTTCAAGCTCGAAAATTTTTCACAGACACTATTTGACTGGTACAGACACGACTATTGGTTTCATTAAATCTGGGGTTTAGTTGGGAATAGTTGACTAAAACCCTAATAACAGAGCATTGCGTATACTACAAGCAAAGTCAAATAATAATTGTCACAAACCAAGAAAGGCTATATGATTTCTTTGTCATTATCATGTCTCATTTTGCTTTGTCTGTCACCATATTCCCTACTTAATAGGTTACCCGGATGTAACACAAAATCGGCTCTATCAATGATAGCCACTATCACGAAACCAATTGCTAATAAATTATAATAGGATCTTGAAAAAAATAAACCGGAACAGTTCAAGATAAGCGCTCCTTCTCAAAAAGTTCCAATGTAGTACATAACGTTTACAACTTGCAATTCCGAGCACTGGATGACACAACGCCTGGAACATCCGATCATGACACAAAAGCAACATAGTTGCTATGCTATGGATGTACCTGAGGATGGAACCCCTACAGTGAAGAAGCAAAGGCATGACATGAAAATCAAAGGGCCTTTTAAGTTATCAAAGTATTTCAGATTCAATTCGATCGGACTAATTGTGGAAATATAAGTATTTAATGACGTCAATTGTACAGACTACAGTTTTTGAGTGCGATGATGTCATGGCCTATGTAGTGGATCAAAAGAATCAGTTTATCGGAGACACTCCTATTTGGAGAGGTAGTTTCCGGATGATTGAACAGGAAGCTGAAGACACTAGTAATACCAATGAATCGCTGGAATTGACTCAGCATCAGTCTCAGTCTTCGTCTCAATCAGGCTTAGTTCCAGATATCAAAAGGGTCCCTTATTATCTTATGAGGTTAAAGATGGAGTTATATAACGAGACACTGTGTGGGAAGATATGTCCGGCAGGATCACGGAGAGATGAAGTATGGGCTGAATTATGGTACAATCCCCCGTCAGAAGAGTATCAGTGTACTATGAATGGAGAAGACTCCGTGTTAAGCTTGGGGGGTGGGAAGTTCCGTCTCTTAGTCCAATTACCTGGTTCCGGATTTCATGTTGTCCCCCGAACACAACAACAACCACCACAGCAACACAATGTTCACTTTGTTCAGGTTGCCATAGGATTGGCTTTCACTCGTGAATCACTGAGGATTGAATTTGAAGACTATATGAACCAATATAAAAGACGACATCGGAGTTACCAACAGTTTTATAGTCTGCCCTTAAAGCCGCGAACGGCTGGTCCGAACGCCAATACTCACCACGATGGAAACTCTGAAGAATCATCACCAAATAACGACAATAATAACTTAACTCCGCAATCTCCATTACCACCAAAATCTAAAGTGCCAAGAGTTGAAAATAAAAGGAAAATATATACGGCTTCTTTCTGCCAACAGGGAGACGTGATAAATGGGAATGCTCTTCAAGAGAACTTGCTTCGAATAGCAATGAGTCTCGGGAACCTTAAAGGAAAAACAGACAATAATACAATGACTCCAGAAACAAAGATCCTGGTGAAAGCTATCGAGGATTGGAATGCTGATTCTGGAGCTGACTCTGATTCAGCGACCACTAGCGCCGGTGCTAGTGCTGTTACTGCTGAAGAAGAAGAGGAAGACGAAGAAGAAGATTATGATGATGATGGAGGGTTTGGTGACTTCGTATACCCACAAAAAGCTACACAAAGTTAATACCACTCATTATTATTATTACTATTAGTATTATTTCTTCTGTTTCTGGTAGTACATTTTCTGAATAATAGGATTATGTTCTCGTAACTCTTTATTTTTATTCTTGCTGTACTCCACATAGGCCATGTCTTCACCTCCAGCAATACTGGCCAAGGACCCGGCACTTCTGGTGGCCTGAGATTGTTCGTACTTCTGCCTTCGTTCATTGGAGATGAAGTTTGTATCAACATCATCACCAATCTCCACCCCTGCTGCATCTTCATTCTTAAGAAGCACCTGCTGTAACAATTCTCTTCTCTCCTTTGGTGAAGCATATGCTAAGTTGGGCAATTGCTCCATCCCATTCAAATGAGTAATCACTTTGAAGGCATAACCTTGATCTACTAAAAATGCCTGTCTCTTGGTGGAGTAATACATCTCCTGAGTATCTTTCGAAACCAATGAATAGAAGAATGCATTGAAACCTTCATCATTACGTCTTTTGGCTCTTAAAATTCTTCCTAATCTTTGGGCTTCTTGTCTTCTAGAACCATAATGAGATGATATTTGAATCAAACACGTGGCTTCAGGTAAATCAATAGAAGTGTCACCAACCTTACTTAAAAATATAGTGTTAACTTGATCGTTATGTTGGAAATTCTGTAAAATCTTCATCCGTTCTTGCTGAGGAGTAGAACCATAGATAAATGGTTTCCCTAACTTAAGAGCATATTCTTGTAAGGCATACACATTATCACTGAAGACAATAATCTTATCTCCTCTTTTCTCATGGAAATGTATCAAGAATTGACATGCTTGGAACTTTGTTGGGTTCATAATGTACAACAACATTCTTTTCCTGGCACTTTCTCTTAAATATTCTTGATAGAACTCAGATGTCATAGGACACCAAACTTCAGCACATTGAACATTGGCAATATGCCCCTTCTGAGCCAAGTCCATCCAATTAGCTTCATATAACTTGGGTCCAATCAAGAAATTCAAATCTCCAATCTTATCATCTTCTCTAACTAATGTAGCCGTTAATCCCAACTTTGCATGTGCCGCTATTGTAGTAACCACTCTTCTGAACATGGCTGCGGGGACAACATGAACCTCATCCAAAATAATGAACCCCCATTCTCTTGAAGTTAAAAAGTCCATAACCTTTTGGGAATCATGTGATCTGTTTCTGGTATTGGCCACCATTGAATATGTTGAAACAACCAAACCAGAATCACTGGTGAACATCTCTTTATTTTCAGATGTAAACACTGCAACATTCTCGTGTTGAATCGTACACCACTGTAAGAATTGTTGTCTCCATTGCATCACAGAAACAGATGAAGTACACAATACAATAACAGATTTCTTGATCGTACAAGCAGCCGTAATACCTACTAATGTTTTACCAGCACCACAGGGTAAAACAATGATACCTGAACGAGCTCTCCCATTACCAAACATTTTGGAAAGTGATTTCTCCTGATAAGGTCTAATCTGAGTAGATGGTTTAAGGTCAATATCTAGGATGGGGTTTCTTTCATCGTTACGGAAATCATATTCTTCCAAAACTGGGTAGTCAATTTCATGACATCTCTTCTTTACTGCTTCCACAGATTCATTGGCTATTTCAAAGGAATGCACTGCATCCAAATCGTCTTCTTCGTCTTCTTCTGAACGTTTCCCTATGATCGAAGCAAATATATCTTCTGATTTTTGAGGTTCCTTACCTCCATTTTCCAATTCTCCAGTGGGTGCTGCCAGGCTTATTAAACCATTACTGGCTACAGTGTTTTCGGATGACAGAGTCCGTAAGGGACCAATGACCTCGTCCTTCAAAAGCATTTGTAAGATATCAGCTTGAGTACTTTCAACAAAATATCTGTTGTGTTTCAACACCAACTTAACCTTACCATAAGAAACAGTTGCTTCTCGGATGAACGAGATGATCTCTTGATGTACGGGGACTTTTGATAGCCGATTCAACACCAGTATAATGTCTTCTGTTTGGACACCAACAGAAACTGCAGCATATAGCGAATAAACAGTAATCTTATACTCATGTATATGTGAAGGTCTGGAAATGGGCTCGGCAATGGTAATCAAGAAATCCTGTGCTTGTTCTGCCAAGGGAGAAAACGATTCAAGAATAATTCTCCCATCCTTGGGACTAATCCAAATAGGTCTAGAGAAATGATCAGGCTTCAATTTCAAGTATGAAAAGTCAGCAGCTCCAAAAGCCTGAGACACCACGTCGGGAACATACCCATCAGGTAACTGAGGAGTCAATGTGATCATGTCTTCATCTGCAAATTCATCGTCACTAAGTCTTTGCTTTAGGATTTCAACTGTTGCTTTGGCCTTTGTCTTTTTAGAAGCGTTGCCATCGGTGCTACTGGGTGGTGCTTTACGTTTAGGCTTGCGTCTTGTCCCAAACGAAGGGTCCCGGTCAAGATCGTCGTCCTTCAGGAAATCATCCTCGTATCTAAACTCGTCGTCAGAGTCATCGTGGCCCGCTAACTTCCTGTAATCCACTCTTCCAGTCATCCCTTACGAAGCAAACAGTGGACTTAAATTGTGCGATTACTTAGCATTCCATTTCCCTTTAATAACATAGGAAACTGCATATATAGTTGATAACGTAATCACTGAGAAAGCCAACCTTGCTCTGTTGGGCTAAATAGATCACGGTTACAAAGAAATTAAGACATGTATCTTTACCCTTCAAGACCTGGATGGAAGCTATTTGTTTATAGTATACCAATTTAGATACATTTTGAGAGCCACACTTCGAGTGATAGGCAAACAAGACTTAATATATAATGCCATTGGTTAATTATGCATCAGTATTGCCTATTGGTAGACATCTCTATCGGCCAGTAATCTCAAGATAATGTATCACATAGACTTATTATATATTCCTTGCTGTAATTGTTTTCCTCAAGGTAACTGCGTAAATCCCATACTACCATGTTTATACTAAGTCCTTAAGGATATGACAAATACAGTCTTTGGGTAACCTTTTGCTATGATGACTATAATATGCGGCGCTCTATGTAAATTACATAACCTAACTAGTTCTAATGGCTACGATTTTATCCTATATTACATCTACTTATCCTATTCTAATCAGTGAACTTGTATGAGCCTGAAGCCATAGTAATTGAACCACCCTTGTACGCACCTCTCTTCATCTTATTCTTATTCTTGGTGAAATCCTTTCCTCTGACTTTAGATAATCTGTCATTGGCAATCTCACCCCATGTACCAGCAGCTCCCTTATATGTGTTGTCCTTCAAGACTTTATCTTCGAACCCGATCTTGCTCTTGTCGATACGAGAAAAATGCTTTCTTTGACCAGGCTTCAAGTCCTCATCAACGTCAGCAGCAATGTAGTTAGAGGGAATTTCGGGAGTAGGTGACATAGAGTCGGTAACAGAAGAGTCGAGCTTTTGCTTCTTTGAAGATTTAGTCTTTTCATCTTCAACTGATCTCTTTTTGTTTTCAGATTCAGAGTCCGATGAAGACTCTGATGAGGAGGAACTGGAGTCTGAGCTGGAATCAGAGCCGGAGTCTGAGCTGGAATCAGAGTTAGATGAGGAAGAACTGGAATCAGAGCTGGAGTCAGAATCAGATGAAGAATCAGAGTCAGAGCTGGAGTCAGAATCAGATGAGGAATCAGAGTCAGAGTCAGATGACGAACTGGAATCAGAGCTGGAGCTCTCTTCCTTCTTTGCTTCTTCCATCTCCTCATCTTCATCATCAGACAGTTCACTTTCAGAGCCAGAACTTGAGTCTGAGTCTGAGCTTGAACTTGAGTCTGAGCTTGAACTTGAGTCTGAGCTTGAACTTGAGTCTGAGCTTGAACTTGAGTCTGAGCTTGAACTTGAGTCTGAGCTTGAACTTGAGTCTGATCTTTCATCATCAGAATCTTCTGAAGAACTAGATGCTGCTGCTGAGAAACTGTTAGAAACACTGCCATTCAGAATAAGTTGTTCTAAAATAGTCTCCAACTTTTCAGTGACATCAGGAATTTCAATATTCTGTTTGTCCAACTCCTTCTTTAAAACTCTGGCGGCCTTGCTCAAGTCTTCATCCCGACTCAAGTAGTCTACTATAAGAGCTAATATCTGAGTTCTCGTAACCATTATCCTTACAATGTGAATATCAATGCAAAGTTACTACATGTAAAAGGTTTAGAAAGTACTTTTTTTCATATACATGTTTAATAATCCTGCATACACGTGCGATGACCTCCGTTAAAAGTAACATACCGAATTTGGTGTAGCCATCGTCCGAAAAGCATAAACATTTATATTACACTATATTTTTATGGGGCTTGGTGACGAGTTCTGTCTCACAAGAGAACCTATAGTGTTCTGGATTATGTCAACTATGGCATAAGGGCTTTCAGCATGAACCACATGTCTTCCAAATGGTAGATGGATGTGCTCGAACCGAGACTTGGTTATCAAATTCCGCATAAACTCCGAACTATAATGATTAAAGTCTAGTTCGGAGGTCACATATACAACAGGCGTGCGTATCTCAGCATAGCACTCATCACTTTCGTCTAAGTTATCCCTCATTGAGTTGTAGTTGACTAGTTGTGAGATGGTGTTGGACTTCAACCTTATCTGGCCATCTTCACACACTTGTTCATCATCGCCTAGCATTTCTTTCAATACGACAGGATCAAAGGTTTGGAAAAAGGACTTACCATTAATAAACCCACGATAATCCTGGTGGTCTGAAAATGTGTCTCTCAAATAACCTGCTTTGAACCAATTGGTGAAGGTGTAATGGCCTTGTTCTGGTATATTCACTACTGGGTTTATGGGGATAGTCGCACCTACTATATGTGGAGCATAACTAGCAGCCACAAGAACAATATGTCCACCCATAGAATGGCCTGCCAATATATTAACAACATTAGGAGTAGAAACAAACGACTCACGTTCTTCATTCTCCATAATGGATATGACATCTCTAGCAGAATCTTTCCAGTCATGGTTGTAGCCAGCTTTCCCAATATTAGCCACGGCAGAATCACCTTGGTTAAACACATCCATTGCAACAGCTGTATTTATTGTAGTGTTGGAATCCGTGCTACCATTGAACCGTTGGAAGAGTTCTCGAATGTGGACTGTCCATATTCCTTTGTTCATCCCATTTCCATGAACGAAGAATAAATTCACAAGCCGTTTACTGGATTTTTTGGTCGCCGTAGGTGTGAACTTTCTATAGGCTATCTTTAATGGCTGCTTTGGGTGAATGGTTGATCCCTTCGCACGATTACCACAGGCATCGGCGTAGAGAATTTCGGTTGTATATAATTCTGACATTGTATCCGCTCTCTGTTAAAAGTAAGTGAATTTAAATAGGAGGATACTTCAGTCATATGGTGCTTGAGATTTGGCACTAGGATCGGCATATATACATTTTGGCCGAACCGAGCTTCACGGGTATTTATGGGGTAGAAAAATCAAGTCACGTGATTTCAAATTATCTCCGTTTCCTTCGTTGTCACGTGATCAATACCCCAGTTGACTACAAGTTCCACTTGGTTAAGATATTATTGTTTAAAAAGCTATTCATATACTAAATTCATTTCACAACTTGGACTTTTTAGTTTCTGGTCCTAAAGAAACCTCAAAGTAGTCTACGTTTAAAACATCACCTGTTAAAAGATTGTTCAAGTTTTGTTCCACGGACTTTTCGGTGTCTTTACCTCTTGAGAATGGTGATGTCTCCAAGGCTCTCTTGTAATGCTCTGACTCTTTGTCGATGATACCGCCAATTGTGTCGACCATTTGATCTGGATTCTCAATATTGAGCAAATGTTCACCTGGCAAATCAATAGCTGTAATTAACTTGGAGTCGATATTGTCTCTGATCCATGACACTGATTCAGGAGGGTTCCAAGTTGCCTCTGTACCAACTATATGATAAACTCTGTTCTTGAGAAGAGGAAGAAGTGCCATTGCATGGGTTAATGAAATGGCAGATGAAATATAAGAAACCATTTGATTCTCTCTGGAGCATTTGGTTTTATACTTGATTTCCAGGGACTCTGCTTCTCCCTCCTCAACAACGTAGATCTCCTCTTTAAGGAAGTCATCTAGGATTTCTGGGTTGGTATTACGATAAAAGGAAAGTTCTTTGAAATACATATTGACATCACCAATCAGATCAAAAGTGTCTAAAATCAATCCACTTAACTTACCAAACACTTTGATAAATTTTTGTGTATAAGCAGGATTTGAATAAACCACTGCTTCAATAGGAACAACTGCAGCATACAATTCTGGTTCATAGAATGAAGCCACGAGCACTTGATGACCACCGATTGAATGACCTATTGCGACATTCTTATGGTAATCGTCTTGGATATAGTCACCTGTTGTTCCTTGCTCATGACGGATCACGCTATTGATATCTTTAGCACCATCTGCCCAATGATATAACCAACCTAACTTTCCCTTGTTCAAAATTGCAGAGTCTCCCAGTTGGATAGCGTCAATACTAATGACCAAATCCAAAGGCCAGCCCTTGGATTTTGCCAATTGAAACAACTTGTTAATGTGATACTTCCATACAGCTTTGTTCATTCCTGTTCCGTGAACGAACACAAGGTTAATCTTAATGTCGTTTTCGGCGAGTACAGTTGTAGTCTTATACTTATGGTACACTACGTTCAATCTCAGTGAAGTTGAGACGGTAGACCCTTTGTGTCTGGGGAATGCTGCCTCGCAGATCTTCTTTTCGGTTGTGTAGAGCGACATTTAAAATCACGTTTAAGGGCTTATAATTTGAGGAGAGAAACAAGATAGCAGTATAAAGTAAGTTTAAATATGAAGACCATAGAATTCAAGTTGTGCAAATGAAGGTTAATCGTCCCTCGGTTAAATCAGCTTTGTGTCAGAGTCGGTAGTTTACCCCGGATTTCGGATAGAGAGCTCCAGTGCGGTGTTGGGACAAGGAAAGATTGTGCCCTTAATTGCTTCTCCAGCTGTTGCTAGGAGTAAAGCAATGATATATTGAGTTAGATCTAAATGAAAGGATAATAGAAAGGAGTATACCCGGGAAGTTAACTTGTGGTTAATCGATCGAATTCACTATTGGGTAGACTCCAACATAATAAGGACCTTAATATTTTACTCGAGATTGTCGTTATTCATATTAAAAGTCTCGTATTCTTTCGAAGTGATTGTATGCAATTGCAATGCGTTTACAGTATGCTATTCTGCCCTAGTACATCCATGTGATACTCCAGATACTCAATCAATTGAGATTAGGAGCCACTTGAGTATTTAAGTAGTAAGCAGGACCCCACTGTTGTGAAACAACTGAGTGTTACACAAGAAAGTACCAAAAACCTGGTATGAGGTTTATTTCAAAATACGGACATTATTCTTGCACATTGATACTACTGCTACGTAAAGATTTAGTCTAATACAATAAGATCAACGTCAAGGTGAATGGGTGCAAAATGTCGTGTAGTTGAATTCTATTAACAAGGTCGTGCACACATACCAGGCTCTGGAACGACATACGAAGCACAGTTTCATTCGTAAGAGTACCTCCCCTGAGAAGCTAAAGTTACTAGAGGAAGGAGAATAAGCTCTTATTGTTCATCCTGCTCAGAATATCATATGGAAACAGGATAATGCGTGGTGACCTCGTAATCTTTTGTCCGTTTATATGACAGAGTTGGAACAATACCCACTTCCTTCTTTTATACGACGAAACACAACAAAATAAGAAACACTAAGACACTCAATTTCACTGGGTAAACCATCAGTTGATACCACAGCTATTCATAGCATATTTATTATAGGTCGGTGTCTTGAACTTGTCAAGTGATGCCCACTAAATGTTGGTGTTCGCACCGAACCGAATTGTGGGGTGCAGTGAAAAATCCATCGCGCACGCATCGCAAATGGATCAGCTATGTTTCTTTCCAGTGCCACGATGACGACTTCCACTAAAGTGTTCAGAACAATCCAACAGGTGAGACAGTGGCGCCGGGAACGTCTTTTGCGCAGTGAAACCGTAGGGTTTGTGCCCACCATGGGTGCCTTGCACGAGGGTCATTGTTCATTAGTGAAGCAATCTATCATGGAGAATGACCATACGGTTGTTTCAATCTTTGTTAATCCATCACAGTTTGCTCCCCACGAGGACTTACAAAGCTATCCTAAAACTTTGCTGAAAGATATGGAGTTATTGGCCGCTCGATTCCCCAACAAACCTGTCGATGCCGTGTTCGTACCCACTGTGAGCGAAATGTATCCTAGTGGAATCACCTTAGATGTTGGGAACCAAAGGGGAGCCTTTGTACTGGTGCTTGGTTGCTCAGAGCAGTTGGAAGGCGTAACCAGACCTCAATTCTTTAGAGGTGTAGCCACCGTCGTGTCCAAATTGTTGAATATAGTTACTCCCGATAAAATATACTTTGGCCAGAAGGATGCCCAACAATGTGTCGTCATCAAAAATATGGTTAAGGACCTTCTAATTGACACAGAGGTCAGAGTTTTACCCACAACAAGAGAGGAAAGCGGGTTGGCTATGTCTTCTCGAAATCAATACTTATCACCAGAATCAAAGCAACACAGCGCAGCCATCTATAGAGGCTTAAACGCTGGTGAAATCTTTTATTACTCCCAGAATGGCCCCACAAAGAGCACAGATATACTAGACAAGGTGAGAAGCATTTACAACCAAGAAGAAAAGTCTAGGTTTGAATTGGAGTACCTTTCACTCAATCATCCAGAGACTTTGGATAAACTAGACATAGTCACTCCCGGTGAAGGTGCTATCATGTCCACAGCAGTTAAAGTTCCTAGAGCAGATGGCAGCGGCCAGGCGAGACTTATCGACAACGTTGTCTTGAAATAGAGTGTCCTCATATTATTTATTAATCTAATTTCATCGTCCCCTGTAATCAAAATGCTCGTCTCTTTTTGAATTTTGAAGTATTTCTAGATTGAGGCCTTGCTTCGTTAGATGATTTTGTCCTTGTAATACTGTAACTTAATGACTTCTTTTCCTCGTACTGCTGACGGTCTGTTTCCAATTGTTTGACAAAAACAGCATGACTTGATGAATGATTCTCACATTCATAGAACATAGGTCCATATTCAAGTAACCATGTAGGCTCAACACATGTGACGCAGTTCATATATTCCTTGCTTGTCAATATTAACTCATGGTAAACCACATAGTTCGTCATCAAAGAGCTCTTATTTAACCCACTTGTGGGATGCAAGTACATCTTCATATACTTGTGACGCAAATTGACAAATTCTGACTCACCAAACATATTTGTCTTTGAAAGTTTGGCCAGTTGATGATAAAAGGATGCACAGATGCATTTCCGTATATCGTCGTCATTCCTAGCGTGGAGAAAGGGATGCTTGTATCGTTTCAAAATCAAATGAATCTGCGCTTCAATATCTCGTGCTCTCATCAATGACTTAACTTGCAAGAAGTTCTTTGAGCACCATTGACTCACTCTTCGTCCATCTTTTTTCAACTGAGCAATGAACTGGTTGTAAATGTTCAATAAGGTCAAATGGTCACTTTCACTAACAATAAACTTTTCTAGTACCATATCAACTTCTCGTAAACGTTCCTTTGGTCGATAGTAAATTCCTGGAACTGATAAAAGACTAACAATCTTCACCACATCAACAGAACAGTGGAATTCATCTTCACATGAAAGTAAGATTAGTTTTGAAAGGGCAGGATCCATGGGTAGTCTAGTCATTTTGTGTCCTAGATCCGAAAGTTCACCAACATTTGTTAGAGCTCCCCAAGACCACAAATCATAAAGAGAGAAGTTTAAGAGATCTGAAGGGGGAGGGTCCAAAAAGGGGAAATGATTGACATCATTAACATCCATTTGTTTCAATAAAAGCATTGCATTGCTCAAGTTTGTTCTTTGGATTTCAGGTATAGGCTGAGAATACATTTGCTCTGGAGTACACTGGCGTTCAGTATACAACCTGTAAGCAACACCTGGCCCAGTTCTACCTGCTCTCCCGCTTCTTTGGTCAGCATTCGCTATGGAAATGGGAACAACTTGCAATGCATCCATTCCTAACTTAGGGTTGTATACTTTCATCTTAGTTAAACCAGAATCGATGACGTACTTGATCCCATCAACTGTTAACGAAGTCTCAGCAATATTAGTTGCAACGACACATTTCCTTCTCTCTTTGTCAGTTTTATTAAAAATTCTTCTTTGTAAATCCAGAGGCATTGTGGAGTAAATTGGAAGCACATCCAAGGGAGGTGGGCCCTCAAGAAGATTAAGTTTCTCTTCTATCAATTGACATACCATTTCAATGTCTTCTTGCCCTGTCATAAACACAAGTATATCACCATCGTTCCCATTTGCACTATTCGAAAGATGAATCGTTAGTACTTGCTTGACAGCACTTTCAACATAATCCAGAGAGCTGCTATGACTGAAATAAATGTCCACTGGGAAAGTTCTACCGGGAATGGTAAAGCAAGGAGCATCTCCAAAAAACAGGGCAAACTTTCCAGCATTCATGGTTGCACTGGTTATTACAAGCTTCAAGTCGTTCCTCTTAGAAACCAATTGCTTTAAAAGACCAAGTAAAATATCTGTATTCAACAGTCTCTCATGAGCTTCATCCATTATCACACATGAATATTGCTCGAGATATGGATCCACCAATAATTCACGTAGAAGAACACCTTCTGTCATATACTTTATCGCCGTCTTATCATGGCTAGTCATATCTTCGAATCTAATGGCATAACCAACTTCTTCGCCAAGTTTGCATCCAACTTCTTCGCTAACTCTTTTGGCTACTGACATCGCGGCCACTCTTCTTGGTTGAGTGCATCCAATAAGTTTCCTGCTGTTCCCCTTTGCAATATTGCTGGCAAAACCTTCCTCATACAAAAATTGAGTTAATTGAGTCGTCTTACCAGAACCAGTTTCACCAATGATGATGGTCACTTGGTTCTCTGAAATAATCCGGATAACCTCTGATCGTACTCGGTATGCTGGAAGCGATTTCCTCTGCTTGTCGATCACGGCTCTATCGTACTTTTCATCATAATCACTGGAAGCAATCACGGCTCGAGAATGGTGGGCTTCATCATTCTCCCCGTCCTTTAGACCTAAAGCTTTACCCATTGCCGTTCCTAACAATGAAGACTTATCTTTTGCTTGTTTTGCCTTTTCCTTCTTTGATCTTGCCTCCCTCAATACAAAACTACCTTTGCTCGCCAGAACTGCTAGTTCGGATAGTGGATCTTTAATAGGTGAGATTGAAGGCCCCAATTTTGTTAGAACCACTCCATTTTGAGTATTGTCTTTATTTAACAACATTAGGGACTCCGAATGGGCGTCCAAGAAAGGAGGGATCATGAAATGGCTCCTAATCTGTAATCTTGAAGAATCATCATATTGAGGGTCATGATCATAGTCAACATATTCACCTTTCTCGTTATACGAGCCACCAGTTCTGTTATCACCAACCGCCCCCTTTGCTTTCGATCTACGTTCTTCTTCTATTTTGGTTTCCATGGTTTCGTGTTCCTCTTTCAAATCATCCATGTACCATTCTCTGTCGTTCTCCACGTTATTGTCGTTGTCCAACAAGAACTTAAAGTCATCTTTTTCTAGTGCTTCAGTTCCAGCACCCTGCTCATGCTCTGCAAGTGGCAGTAAAGATAGACCTTTCTTCTGGTTAGTTTCAGCTCGTGTCTCACCTTGTGACACTGGCAAGATCTTAGGTTGCTGTTGCCCAGGACTCTTCTCGGATCTGGAATCCACTTCTAAGGTTGTACGAAGTCTTTGAGCATCTGTTTTAGAGATCTTCTTGAACTTCAGTTTCTTTACTTTCGAAGGAGCTTTGCCGTTGGCATCAGAAGCCGCTACTGGTAGTAATTCTGGTTCCTCTTCAAACAAGTCCAATTTGATTCTCAGAGTCTTCTTTGGTTTATTAGTGTATGATTCCAACTCATTATAGTTATCTTTTATCAATGAATGGATCTTCTGAACTTGTTGCTCGCTTCTTATACCAATGGTCGCCAAACACTTTGAGAACGCCAGCATTGATTCGTTATCGCTATACAATTTGAGTAGCGATTTTACGATTTCTGGTTGTGCCGGTCGATTGAGACATTCGCCAACAGTGGCAACAAGTATCGCCACAGCGTCCATGAAAGAGTATGTATATAAAGTGAAGCTGCAGCGTGAAGGTTGGGTTACCAGGCGAGTTATTTTACTCCAAGTTTAACTTTCGCAGTCCACTGTGACCTCATCTCGTTCGACGGTCAGGCAAATCGTCTGCAATCAACTTAACTCGTCTACAGCGCACTTAACTCGTTCCACAACCGACCAATGATATTAGGCAACGTTAATAAACGGTTCCACAACCTTATAGGACATTTACGACAAGTAAACGTTCATGTGTCTCCAGTTCCAACCTCACATAACGAGATGCGACATCTCCACGATTCGTTCCGAACGCTAGGGACGTTAGAACTGTTCCAAGTGCACAACACCACCAACTTCTCAGGCCTTTATGGCCATGATATCCTTCTAACATACAACATCGGAAGCGACACTAGCGTTTTGGATCCAGCTACAGAACTAAGTGAACAGCTAACCGAATCCTCCGCGGTTACTTCTACCGCCAAACAACGAGAACAACATCTCATTGATAGGCTAAACCGAATAATAGCATTACCTAGATGTGGATATGTTTCAGAGTTTGAAGGCTTTAACAGTGGTGATATTGAGATCCCCTTCACCTATAAAATCCCACAATCAAATCGAGCTGATCTTATCGGCAAGTTTGAACTTTCTGCGAGTACTCTGTTATTTCCCTTTTGCTCCATAACCAACGATACAATAACCCTTAAGGATGTGCAAGCGTTCCGCAGAATCATACGATACAATATGACAAAATTCCACAAGTTTAACTTTACTCCACTCAGGAAGGTAAAGGCTGAAGATATTGGGCGACCTCTTACTGAATCATTCAACCCCACAAGAAAGCTCCCTACAGGTTTCTACAGTTGAAGGCGTACGGTGTAAAGAATGTTTATTTATTAGTTAATGGCTACGCAGCATCGTATCGTATTCTATCTAAACTTAAACGACGCTTCCTCTTTGATGTATACTCATTTTTGAATTAATTTTCCAAGAGCTTCTTGGTCATGCCCCAACACTTCGTTGACATAATTCAAACCCATTTGTTGCTTCATCAATATCCGTGCTAATTTGTTAAGTAATGCATTTGTTTGGTCATCCTCGTCCTTGGAGGTTTCATCAGCTTTCGAACCATTTTGGGGTTCTTCATTCATTCCCATCAATGCGTCATTGAACTGATGATTAAATTCCTCTGCACGTTCTTTTAAAAGCATGACTCTTGCAAATAGATCTGTGAACTTACTCAAAGGAGAGTTGGGATCACTAAGCTTAGAATTTAACATTTCGAACTGTCGAGAAGTTTCTTCCTCTTCAGGCAATAATGGATAACCCTTCAACTTTACTATAGCCAACACCGTTGCAAGTCTTAGCAACCTCCTTGATAATCTAGTATGATGTGCCTTAGCTTTTAAAATCCTAGTAGTATTATCTAGTTCATGTTTTGCAGATAAAGCTTGTAATTTCTCGTTTATATCAGTTAGTATACTTCTGGACTTAGCAACATGTTGAATTTGAACTTGAACCCTAGTTGCAACTTCGGAAAATGACGTGATTTTAACTGGATAATGCAAATTACTGGGTCTACTTCTCATGGCAGAATCCCAATCTTCAGCCGTCTCATTTTGTGGACGTGGTTGATTCATCAATAGCTGCATCTCGTTTTCACCCATCTTATTATACAAATGGCTCTTGAAAACACATTTTGGTGAGGCTGGATCCCAATCCTCAATAATCTTTGTTAATTGATCATTGATAGATGGCGCATAGCCATTTTTAGGCGCCATCGTCAAACTGTTGGAGGTTGAAGGTAATGCGAGAGAGTTTGTGTCTTGGCTGGTGGTAGATTGGTTGAACAATGAAGAATTCAACGAAGTAGTCGCCTGCGGTTTATTCCAACCAAAAGATGGTTGCTGTTGTGGTTGTTGTAATTGCTGTTGTTGTTGTTGTGATTGTTGTAGCTGTTGTTGTTGTTGTTGTTGTTGTTGTTGTTGTCCGCCAAATAATCCACCAGTTGTTGTTGCTTGGTTTCCACCAAAAAGACTTGAACCCGTTGTAGCTGCTTTAGCTCCAAAAAGACTTGAAGTTGCAGAAGTATTAGAATTGGTGTTACCGAATAAGCCACCAGTTGTTGATGTAGCACCAGAGTTGCTGGCATTCCCAAACAACCCCCCAGAATTGCCTCCCGCTGGTACAGTTGTAGCTCCAAACAATCCACCTCCCGTGGTTGTATTAGATCCTGCAACATTGGACTTATTTCCAAATAAACTACCTCCAGTGGAAGCAGTAGTGTTTGACGCATTTCCAAAGAGGCCACCACCAGCACCAGGAGCAGTGGCGGCGGTAGAACCACCACCACCAAATAATCCCAGACTGGTAGCAGGCTTAGAAGCATTGTTAGCTCCAAAAAGTCCTCCGGTATTACCACCAGTTGTTGAAGTAGTCCCAAAGGCTCCACCTAAAGCACCACTAGCATTGGCACCTGCGGCTCCCAAAGTGTTACCTGTTGAGCCAAAGAGATTTCCAGAGGCTTGCCCATTTGTGGCGGTAGAGCCTCCAAATAAACCACCTGTCGCTGGTGCTGCTCCGCCGGTGGCAGCATTGGCAGGCTGCTTCCCAAACAATCCTCCACTGTTCGTGTTTTGATTTGATCCAAATGAAAAACCTGTATTGCTCCCTGTAGAAGCACCTGGTGCATTGTTATTACCAAACCCAGAGGATCCTGTGTTACCAAACATTCCGCCAGTTGATTGGCCAGCTGTTCCAAACATTTATAATTCGCTTATACCTGGGGGATGGATGGATGGATGGTGATGATTAATTGTTAGTTATGTTTTGCAGTGGAGCAAAATTTTAAGACGTAAATGTTACACAAAACTGGTGGTTTTAGTTGGTTGAAGCGAATGAACAACGGTTTAACTGCATTACACTCCAAATGTCGCAAGGGTAGCTTATAGGAGTTCAATTGTGTAAACGTATGAAGTAAGTTAATCATAGACTTTGTATATACCTTAAGTACCGATTGAATTTAATTTACTAGATTTCACATTAGACTGTTGAACGTCTACAATTATTCTATGGTACTGTCAATTGTAAGCTATGAATAAATATGAAAGAAACGAAAGGTTCGTTAACAGAAGTGAAATTATAAAGCGACCCAAGATAGCACAAGCTAAAATCTGATGAAGGATTGAATTATAAATGTACAATGTGACATGATATGATATGATATGTGATGTGATGATAGGAACAGGTGGTAATGTTGTGATAGGAGGTGATAACTCTTTAGATTAACCCGTTCTGGTATTTTTTTTCACTATGACGATCCTGATTTGTGGATCAATGTTTAATGATAAAGATGACGACCTTATTTCTCTTGAAGGCCATTATTCATTGAGTGCTCTTTGATATTATCTATTAAATATCTTTATGCTTCCTTGGACTCCTCCTTTTTCAACAAGAATGCTTCTGTGATTTTCTTATCATTCGATCCTCCTTGGAAAATTGGACTCTTGTTCAACTGGATTTGTTCGGCCACACCAGGAATCTTCTTTTCCAACTTCAAGTTAGCAAAAACACATTTGTTAAACACTTCTTCAGAATACCTGCAGTGTCCTAATCTGTGATTATTTTGTTCTAAACATTCATAATGTAACTTGAATTCATCAAAACAGTACTTGTTCAAATCTTGTAACACGTTAACGGCACATCTGGTGACTCTTCTACCTTCCTTCAAACAATCTAATGTACCACCATTGTTTTCACTTTTACACATCATGAAGTCATCATTGTAAGGTTTACATTTGGCCCCAATGAAGTAGGAAGCACTCAATAATGGTGCGGAGGTTGCACCAACTTCGTCCACTTCAGGAATGTTAGATGGTAACAGATTCTTGTCCACATTTTCCCATTCAAATCTTGAGATATCAACGTTGTCCAATGGAGCCATCTTGGATATGTATCTGGCTACTGATATAAAGGTAATTGGGTCTGAAGAATTAACTTTATGTCTCTCTAGAGTGTAATTGGTATTACCTTCATATATCGAAAATTTTTCCCAATCAAATTCGCTATTGATTTTATTGGAGTCATATGGTTGGTGCAGAGATTTACGCAGGCCGGCGTATAATCCAGCACCAGCAATATTCACTAGATCTACACTTATGAACTATCTAAAACTAAAACTAACTTACGCCTTCTTATTGGTTATTGATTTGACTCAATAAGGCCATTCTGCTGTATATTGGTGATATTTGATATAGTGACTTCCCATGTATTAGCTTACTATGAAGATTAAATTCAGGCAATGACTATTGAAGTTACTTGTTCGTTTATTAACTTCCCCGAAGAATAGATATAACGTCTTCATTCCGCTCAACTATGTCATAGATCGTGAGTAGACTCAATATCAAGTCACTATTGGCTTCTTCTGCAGCCAGAGGATCAATCTGTTTGACATTCTGTACCAAGAGCTCGTCAACATAAGTGCAAAATTCATTCTTGGTGGAAAAAAAGGAAGAGTTGATCTTCTTCATAATCTCAGAGTCTTCACCCAGAAGTAAGTTATCTTTAATCATTCTATAGAGTTGATTAATTAAGATGTAAACCATGGTAAGCTTTCGGAGTTTCTCTATTTCTGAACTCTCGCAACTTAGCAATAACTGGAAACTTGTAAACTGATTGAATATAAGTTGAACAAGCTTTAACTTGAACCGAATAAGCATTAATTGGTCCTTCTGATAGAGCATTTCATTAAAGGCGTTTCGAGTCTCAATTAAATGAGCATAATTTCTTTCTGTGGAAGCCTTGAACTTGGTTAAACTATGGTTGACTTCATTGATGTAGTTTAAACCAATATTGATGGAATTCCCCAACTTTATAAAGTTCTCGTACTCTTTATTGATTATTGATACTAAATTCTTGTTCAATTCATCTGAGAGTTTGGAAAGATCTTTGATTAACGAATCAAGTGATAAATACCGGTAGTTACTCACTAGAAAATCATCTATATCTTTTGTATTTGAAAATTCTTGGAAATTGACCTCGGATATTGGTACTATATATGGATCAAACGACATTACTTGCAGTTAAATAGTGGTAATTGTTTTTTAAATGAAAGTAACCCTTTAGTATGTACAATCAATGAAATTCTATTTTGCTGGCACTTGAGAATTAACATACTTAATTAGGAAGTCGACGTCGCGAAATATTAAAGCACGACGATACAAATTTATATATTTATAACTTAGTAACTAACTTCCCAGCACCTTTACCGGTAAACAATGTATTCCATACCTGAGGGATATCTTGGAACCTAGTAGAGGATTTGGAAATGTCTCGTAAATCAACACCGGAATCGATCTTAACTTTACCTTCAGCTATGGCATTAGCAAGTACATCAGTACCCTCTCCAAATCTGTCTACATAATCAAGAACAATGAAACCTTGAACTGTAAGTCTGTTGGTAATGATTTCAGACCAAGTCTTGACAAACTGCTTAGTGAAATCATTATATCCAGCAATGGCTCCACATGCTACAACACGACCAAATGGTTTCATTTGTGTAAGCATAAACGATAAGATATCACCACCAACACCATCAAAGTATATATCCGCAAAATCAGGACCAATGGCTTTTGCCAATTGCTTTCGGAAATCAGTATCTTTATAATTGACAACTATGTCTGCCCCTAAGGACTTGACCCAATCTCCATTAGCTTTTGAACCAGTGATTCCAATAACTTTGCCTGCCTTAAACACATGTTTGGCCAATTGAACTGCCATACAACCAGTTGCACCAGAAGCAGCAGAAATGACAACTGTTTGCCCTTCCTTGATTTTTCCAATATCTTTCAATCCGAAATAAGCTGTTAAGCCTGTTCCTCCTAAAGGTCCCAAATAAAGCTCCAATGGAAGCCCTTTACGAGGGTTGATTTTATTTATTACAGCAGACTCATCGATAATTGCATAATCTGCCCAATACAATGACCCATTGAGAATGTCTCCTTCTTGAAATTTGGATGATTTGGAATAAACCACTTCTCCAATACCCATGGACTTCATTGGGTCTCCTTGCAAAACTGGTTTGACATACATTCGCTTGGGGTTCAAGCCCTTTTGAATCCAACCTCTTTGAGTTGGGTCATTTGAAAGATATAACACCCTTACAACCAATTCTCCTTCCTTGATAATAGAAGCATCCAATTTGGATGTAATCAATTTAAAAGTTGAATCAGCTTGGCCGAACTCAAGCTTTACTTCTTTGAGGGGCGGATTCTGTAATATCACAGTGTTGGTTTCTGAAGGTAATGGCATTTTTTGATGCTGTTTCTCAGTTAAGGATAGCATGAAAAGAAATTTAGTGCCATTATATGCTTAAAGATAAACTTCCAGATCTTACATTTGTAATTAACTATTATGTGGGGTTCGGCATTGAATGGCTTCGGACCGACTCGAACAAAGTTTGATCCTCGGGGACGCGGGGTACTCGTGTTTGGGGTAAAACGTACTGCAGGATTTAGTTCGGCTAAATCTTATGGTAGCGACAGAGAGTATTGTCTCCTTGTTGTAACATTGGATCTAAGGGAACAATTCGATCCAAATGATAACAATAGGTCCGTCCGTGTATTTTGAAATGAGTTATAAGTGAAGGATATGTCTTGTCTATGGGTGTTATAGAGAATAACTGAATGTGAGTTGATGAGGAATGACTGTTGAAGCTCCAGCGAAATTTAGTAAGAAGTTTCAACTGAAGTTGGGAAAGATCTAAGAATAAAGGCGCGAAACTTTGATTCTAAGTGATGCCTAGTACCCAAACAATGGGCCAGAGTGCCAAAGATGGGAACTGGTGAGAAAGTACCCCAACTACTTGTAATTAATTAAAGAAAGTTACTCAAGTCACCTAATATTTAGTTGCATTAATTACGAAGAACTAAGGTTATTGTAAGACAAGAGAATGTCCACCAAATTCCTGAAACTTTCGGTGTAAGTTGAAAGTAGTTTCTAATGGAATTTTAAAATTTCAAGACCTTAGCAGCGAGAGGAGCATCTTTCAAATTCGCCATATAAAACCAGTTATTGTAGCTTACGGCCATCGCACCCAAATAGTTGTATGATACGATGAAACAGTCCCCCTCATACCGAATAGATAAATAGAGTAAAACAGGCACAAATAACCCAAGCGTACTTGGTGCTATGGTAACTACTATGCGGTCACCGTACGTTGAGCCGCTCGTGCAGATTCAATAATCTGAAAGATGCCTGTAATTCTTGCCGTTTCGGATAGTACTTAATTTAAACCATCACGTACCATCGGCAATTTCTCAGCCAAACAACGAAGCAGTTTAAGGGCTTGAACCAAAGTAGAACATTACCTTCATCAATTGTCGCTATAAGCACTTGAGTTTAGGAGGTTAAATACAATTTGTAGCGGCTTAAATGTATGGCGAAGTAAAATCCTGACAAAAAAAACAAACGGGAGATTCAATCTTGCAAATGAAATTGTCGAAGCAGACATTTGATTTCAACCGTCCTTGCGGAGCTTAAATTTAGTGGCGTATGAGCAGATCATCATCGTTGGCGATGTGCAGGTAGTGCAGTAGATTCTTGATGTGATGACAAAGGTTCCATTTTTATCCAAATACTTCCGATTTCTTTACTATTGAAGTGACACTGGCACGGAATGTTCAAGATTTAAAAAATAATCTTACACACCAAAAATTGGACTTGCATACAATCATATCAACATGGCATTTCATAGGCCGGAAATAAAAAATAATTTGCTTTCGTTTCACACATATATTTTTGGTGAAGTTTTATTATCGGAAAGTTACTAGTTGGTTGCATTGGTTTCTAACGTCACAATAACCGCTAGTTGTTTCAAATGCTTAAAGCTGTGCATTAGTTATTTGCGATATCAATATTTTTAAAGCCCTCTTTGATTAAATCGTTTCACCGCAAATATCTTTCCTTTTGCCACCCGGATACTTCCAATACTGGTATTGGTTCCAAAAGTAGAAGTTATTGGCCATTAAAATCCAGCCGTAGATAAGCGCTCAAGCCAACTGTAATTTCAAATCTATTTTTCCACTTTTTGCCTGGCACCAAACCCTCCCACTAGTAATAGGAATCAGACAAAACCATTGATGCGGTACTATTTGCAATCAGTTAACCATGCCTTCAACTACCTTCCTGTTAAGATCCCTATGCCCCGAGGCATTCTTAAGTTATACTGCAAGTAGATCCGTATTGCAATATGCGTACCTTTAAAAAATATATGACCCTAGTAGCATTCCGAATCGCAGCGTAGCTCTCTTTTTTTTGAACAGTACATACCTTTAGCCTCTGATTAGATACCGTTGAAGACTATTAAAAATGATTTATAACATGAATTATATGTACTAGTTGGAGTTGCTCGGTCAACTGGTGCTATCCAACATTGTGGCCCTGTAAATAATCAGATTCTTATGGCATTAGGCCTAATAACATACCTAAACCTATTGACATGCGTCTACCTCTAAAATCACAACTATAATTCAAACTAGGTGTCACTCGCTGTTAAGGGTCAATGGAAGTGAAAATGGCTTTATGGTCATTTAACCTTCAGTAAAGTATTTCTACCCTTCTAGCATTTTCAGCTATTTTGCTCCGTTGAAGTTCACAGGCGAAGTTGCACTGCGTTACCATTTACTGTTTAACGTGAGCAAAGAGCCCCACTTGTCATTAACAGTTGACAAAAGAGATATATATCGATAGAAATCTCATATAAAAGTCACTTGAGTACTTTTCTTTGTTGAGATTTTTTTTTGTATGTCAATGGCTATTCACTTGAACAATGACATTTGGAAGCAACAATCAGGAACAAACAGGTAATCTCTACTTTGGTGACAAAATCCATATTGGAAGTAGACTTAATACTACTTAATACTCATTACAAATATATGACTCTTTATCTTTGATTCAACTTCAATATAATATTGGAGTCAAAATCAGTCATTTAAGGCGTTGCAATACTAGAGCTCTTGATGGTGCCAACCAATTAAGTGAGCCTCCAATTCGGCAATAATCAAGAGTTTTTTGCAAGATATCCTAGCCACAAATAACGTTTATCCATGCATTTTCTTTCGTTATTATAGACGTCCTTGAGATTTGAAATAGCTTGGATTTTCTAGCCGTTTCTTAAGATTAGACGCAGATAACTTCCTTATTGTTAATGCTATTTGAACTACTTACCAATCTCTGGATAGCTCACTGTTATTAGTATGCATAAAAAAGTGGAATCAAATTATAAACCATTTAAGCTATTGCTGGTACCTTTATTTTAGACTTTCATTTTGATTAATTTAATGGCTTACCAAAGTAAACTTCGAATCTTTCTTGCCGTTTTGATCAATTGCCTTAGCTGATTAAAGGGATTGAGTTGAAGGGGAGGATAACAGATGCTGCGAGCTTTTTGAAGAGCTATTTGATTTTATTGCAGGGCCTAGGTTCAGGTTCATTTTAATTTCGTTTAATCTTTCGCCTAATGTAAATGGGTTTGTTCTATGAGAAAACCGTACTAAAGCTGTAAACATACGCTTACGGACTTCATTACTATATAAAAATCTCATGTCAGAATATAAAGATTACGAAGTTCATTTACGTGGTCAAGGAATCACCGCTAAAGGGTTAAAATGGAGCGCATTAAGGTTAAACAATCTGCACAACGAAGAGCATTTGCTAAAATGTTCTATTTCAAAGACTCTACTCAGTTCATTGAATATAATGGGGAAAGTATTGGGAACTATGTCTAAGTCTACTGCTCGTCGTAAATACCAGCGATAAATGGCACCATTAGAATCTGACAACAACAGGGCCATAGTATTTCAGACATAGATAAAACCCATAACTATTATCCGACACAAATTTGGCAATTACTCAGACACTTTTTTATTGTCTGGAAAGACTTTTAAAATTTTGTCTGTCTGGAATTTGCACTATTTCACCTCAATGTGACAGGTGGTATTTTCATAGGCCTATTGATCGCATGGTTTGTGCTTATCTTTGTCGCATGGCGGTATGTTCCGATGACCCTAAAGCTGGAAAGATGGAATTAGTGTACCACATTAAAAAAGCTTAGATTTTGCTCCAAGAAGCAATTAATTCTAGATAAATAGCCGCCATTCATCAAATCTGCAAGTAGATGGCTCCTTCCATATACGACCGACAGCAATCGGCAAATGACTATAAACGTTATGGGTGTCTGGCATATTAACATTCTTGGTAAAAGCCCCTGCTTATGGCAAGATTGTTTGGATCTGACGCTTGGTGCTTATATACATGATCTATGATAATCTTTTGATGAGACATTAAAAACCAATTAAATGTAACCCCGAGGTTCCTAGATGTTAATAGTAATAACTCGGGCCCAAGCACTTATCCCAAGAGTACAAAGCCTGTCTTTCATTTTAACTAACAACTAGCCCAACTATCACGTAACTTTAGATACTGTTCTATACGGCGCTGTTTTTTATTCCTAGAAAATTCTGTAATCAGAGCCCTTCATTCAAAGCAGCATGACTTGCTTTTTATGACTCATAGAGCTGTTGGAAATCAAATGCCAAACAGTCTACAAGAGCCCTTGGCTTTTTGTTTGTTATAACGTCCTTGAACAATTTGGCCGATGACGTTGATATAGCCTCTTATCAAATAATTATAATATCGAAGAGAAGCCAACAATCAGATTGAAGTCTTTTCACTACAGTTATGATGGGCCAAGAATACATAGTAAATCATTGAGAGAGGCTACAATACCTTTTCGTTAGAGAAATTTTAAATCGCTTTGTTGTTTCCATTATTTTGGTAAAGACAAAGAGGAGATGTCTAGCGTTATCGTTTGTAATGCGATCAACAATACAACGGATAATCATTTGCAGTTACACAGCTTTTAGCTTTAACAGAGACTCTAAATTCTATTCAATTACTTGTAACCTTTGGCGCAAACTTGGTTACTGAAACAATAACTCCTAACAAATAGTCAGGCTGAAGAAGTATTTTTTCATCGACTAAACAACTGGTGCTGTTACAATAGCATTCAAGATTATTTTGTATTCTGCCCGCTTAAAATGGTGGGGAATTAACACACAATACATGAAGCTTGCGTTATTAGCATATTATATATTAGGAAATTCGTTTTCAAGGCATTTAACCGTGGACAACGGTTAGATAACCCCATTAACCTTTAAAACCACTACATACACTTATTGTGGCTGTGACTCCTATTTTTTATGTATGTGTTTTGGTGATGTGATTACTGATGTAGGCTGCGCATAAGTGTG